AGAAATTTTCAAAAAATATTTTAGGGAAAAGTTGAAAGTATCAATTTTCCTTAAAAGTAAATTTTCAAAAAAAAAAGATTTTTGAGGAAAAGTTGAAAGTATCAATTTTTCTTGAAAATCAAAATTTCCAAAAAATATTTTTAGGAAAAAATTGAAAGTATCAATTTTTCTTAAAAATAAATTTTCAAAAAAAAGAATTTTTGAGAAAAAGTTGAAAGTATCAATTTTTCTTGAAAATTGAAATTTCCAAAAAATATTTTTAGGGAAAAGTTGAAAGTATCAATTTTCCTTAAAAATAAATTTCAAAAAAATGATTTTTAGGGAAAAATTGAAAGTATCAATTTTCCCTACATAAGAACAATCATCATTTTCTTTCTTTCTATTTTGATTTTGATTTTGATTTTTCTTTAATTAATCCGACAATGGAGCCTCTGCAAGTGAAACAGTAGTTTTTCTTGCATACTCTTGAGGTGAGGGAATTTTCTCAATTTTTTGCTAAAAGTATTAGAGTCAATTGAGAAATTTTCCAATAATTAATTACTTGGTAAAAGTTTAAGGCTTTTGGATAACACGAATTTCAGCTGGTACCATCTTTTGATGGACGTTGTGAGGGTGCTATAACCTTTCTCACACGTAATCGAACTCCCGAACTTTGTTCTGGTTAGCAGACCCGAACCTATTCTTTTAAGGACCCTTAAGCTTAGGTGTTCCCTGAAAGGACAGATTTCTTAGGTGACCAATCGTACCTTGATAACAAAGATTGGTGACGACTCCCTAAAAGTCAATGTCTAGCGATAGATCTCCGGATCTAGACGTTATGACAATCCTAATTTTCTATTATACTTTTTATTTATTAATCTCATTATTAATGCGAATTAAGAATTCGTGTGAAAAAAAAACTTAATGAAATAAAGTTTCCTAAATACCCCATCATCTAGATAGTATTCGGGAACAAATCATTTCATGTGAGATTTTCACACGTATCCTTAAAGTTTCAAAATAGATTTAGTCTATAGGTTTAGGGCTTGCATAATTTTTAGGGAATGATTAGAAGGTATATGCTAAATTTAGGGTTTAGACTCTTAGGGTTTGAGATTTTGAATTTTAGGGTTTCAATTTTAGGGTTAAAAAAACACGAACATCTTTAAAAATCCTCAACATTTAGGCGAACTTTTAGACCAAGTTCGATTTTTATGATTTTCAAGAAAATAAATTTTTATTATGAATAGTTAATATTAATTTATTTAGTTTTAATATTATTTATTATTTTTAATAATAATTCTCCAACATTTAGGTGAAATTATCATTATTTAAAATACGATTGTATTCCCTCCAACATCTAGGTAGGGAAAAGTTTATTATTATTATTATTATTATTATTATTATTATATGCATATTTTATTATTTTTTATTTAATATTTGGATTATTAAAAAAATTAATAGGAATTAAAAGTTTTTTAAAAACGTTTAAATTTTATTATTGTTATTGTCATTTAATTATTATTATTGTTAATTATTACCATAAATCAAAAAGTATTTATTTTAATAAACTCTAAAAGTTTTAAAGCATGCATAATAATAATAATAATAATGTTAAAAATGATATAAATAAATAATATATATAAAAAAAAAAAATTTTACCTGAACCAATCCGGTCAACGATGGTTCGGCTAGGCTGAAAATAGGTGAGGTTCGACAAGCAGTTCGGTTGAGTGGCAGTTCGACTGAGCCGGTTCAAAGTTGGTTGAGAGACGAGTCACCTGGTCGATTACGCAAATATCGAGTCGGGTTCGGGTAGACGTGCGGATTTTCCTAGGTCCAATACGACCTTGTTTTGGGCTTTGTTTTTCTTATATAAAAGCCAACTTTTTTTTAACTTATTTTTTCACTTCTCTAGAAAAAAATTTTTTTATTTCAGAAGCTTTTTTTGGCTTCATCGGAGTCCGATGTACTGCCACTGCGTCGGCCGTCGTATGGGTCATCGCTGTTGGTCGAAAAATACCAAAAAATTTCAAAAGATTCTTTTCATCGTCCTCATTTCAGATCTTATTTTTTTAAACCAGAAACAACCCCGATTGAAGTAGATTGGGGCTTAAAGTTTCTGTCTTCTTTTTTTTTTAAACAAATCGAAACTGAATTTTTTTTACAAGTACCTCATTGGCGCTGGGTTCCTCCCTATGGGAAGGATTGTGTTAAATTTTATTTTTTTTCTTTTGTGGCTGGGTATTTGTATGTATGGGTTTTTGGATGTGGGAGGTCGATGGTACGTGTAGGGGTTTGTGAATGGTTGAACTAGTTTGGGCTCTAGCTAGTTGGGTAGGGATTAGGATGAAGGGCTCAGGTTTTGGAGAGGCTGGTTTCTGGGTATGAATGGGAGCTTGGTGTTTCAAAAGAGCTGGGTGTCCGTGTATGCGTGTCCGAGCGCTTGAAAAGGGAAAAAGCTGGGTTCTTTATAAGGCCGAGTATATGTTCGAGACAGTGGGTGGTCTAAGGGTTGTAAGGGTGGCTGTAGGTGTCTGTAGGGCGTGGCTGTAGGTGTCGTAGGGGTGGTTGGTCTAGTTAGGTCACAAGCACGGTTGGTTTGATGGGATTGGTCTGATTTGATCTAGTGGTTGGTTTGGTTAGGTCACAAACGTGACTGGTCTGATGGGACTAGGGTGGTTGGTTTGATGGGACTAAATAACGACATCGTACACTAACCTCATGTTTTTTGTCTTCTTTATTTTTTATTTATTAATTGTATTTTTTGTTTAATTAATAAATATTAAAATAAAAAATATAAATATAAATATATTTTGGGCTTAAAGAATAAGATTGAGCTTCAGGCTTGATTAAATCAAATTGGGCCTGAAGCTCAACTGAATGAAAAATAAGCTTGGAGTCCAGTTGAGCCAAAATCAAGATTAGGGCCCAATCAAGTCAAAATCAGGCCTGAGCTTAAAAACTCAATACACACGGTGAATTTTAAAACGAGACTTAACTAAAAATCGGATAAATTTGATGTCTCCGTTGTTATCATATTGCATATGGCTATTTTCATGCCTGTCTCTTAATGAACGAACTCATGCGGGGCAAACCCCCTGCGCTTAGCCTTAAGAAGGAAAAAGCAGGATAAAACTGGCTAGTCTAGACGATTGAGTGGTCAGGCCATTTTTTAGTTTCACTGAAATTTGGGTCATTACACAAAGAAGTAGTTTGGTCATCTGCGCAAAAATTGACGTTGATTTCTCATAACTTTTCTTATCTCGCAGTGGATACTGGACACTCTGTTGCAATTTCCTCTGAATACTACAGCAACAGTACCACTGCATGTGCATGCTTCAGCTTTCCCAAAGGAAATTGCATGTTTTTGGTCCAATTGATTTGAATTCACGCATTGCAAAAAAGTCAGACGTTACTTTCTTATAACAAGTAAAACATACAAAGTACGTTGAAATCAAACAAACTTCATAGACATTAAAATAAAGTAAAAACTTATATAACGTGGGATAAACTCATATGAAGGGGCTAGGCAACCTGAATTAGGAGCTGTTATTATATATATATATATACACACACGTATATTAGCTTCAAAACTACTGGATGATGCATACCGTTACCTGAACCGGTGGTTGGGTGTCATTTGGACGCAAACATAAGCAAAAGGTTAGTTGGATTGGTTGACCTGTGGGCTCCCCACCATGTGCTAGCTGTGGTCGTTTTAACATTAGTTGGACCATCCTTGTAGCCTACCTGACCTCTCCCTTTCTCTGTACCCAGCATTCCATTCAGTAACCAAAAGGGCCTTTTCCCCATACTATTTATTGAACATCTATTAGGAATAAATTAAAATTTCAATTGATACGAATAATAAAACATAGGGTTAAATAAAACATTTATTGTAATTTGAACGCATATTTTCACTCATGGTCCGATCTGGTATAGTGAAATTGGCATCCATAACTATCAGGATGGGTGGGTTGAAAATTGCGAAAATAAATTAATTCAAGAGAGAAATGAATTTATCTATCACCACTTACTTACTAATATGAAATGACGAGAGATGCTTGGCTAGCAAAAATTACCAAAATTATCCTTGGACTGCACCCTGCTTGTAACACTTAACAATGCAAATTGTAGGACCCAAAAACAAAGATAATCATAGCCAAGACATTTGATCCATCAGTTTCTTTTTATTTGATAATCAGAGGACAGTTCCACCTATCATGACTACTCCTTGACGTGATTTTGCATATATAGTTTGCATGTGCACCTTACGTAAAACACAAAGTTAGCTTTAATTTATCAGTGTTTAGTAAAAGAAATACTACTTTAATTTTCTTTCTTTAAAGTGATTTTGCACAGAAACCCAAAACTCTGATTCTGCCATGCCTCCCACGATATATAGTTTGCATGTGCACCTTACGTAAAACATAAATTTAACTTTTAATTTTTATTTATCTTACAGTATTTATATTTATGTAAAGAAAAACTAGTATTTTAATTAAATTCTTCTCTTTGAAGCATGTTAAAAAAATGATTAAACAATATCTTGAAGTGTTTTTGTCCATATGTAGGGGTTTCGTTTTTACTATGCCTTGTTTGTGTTTTATTTTTTTTAAGTAATTAATTTTATTTTGCATCTATTAAATTTTGAATTTTTTTTAATGATTTTATATTCACATTAAGTTTTTTATTCATCGTCAATTGATTTTGTTTTGGATATTTTAATATGAATTTTGGTCGATGTATCAAATTGTTTACCACGTGGTAGTAGTTATCGTGAATTGAAATGATGGGCATTATCGAGAACTTGTAAGAAGTTGGCCATCAGTAGTAGACATTAGTGGACTTTCTCTCTGTCTCCCTGACTTCACAAATATATTAATGGAGCTTCACCTTCATTCTCCTTGTACGCACTCTCTCTCTCTCTCTCTCTCTCTCTCTAAACAAACAGAATTAAGTTGGAGCGTTGCACTTCATTTTCCTTTTCTGTCTCTGATCACAACTTGGGTGAAATTATGCCAAGCAGTAGCCTAGGAAAAAACCTCAATCTCTGCTTCACCAAGATGAAATTCCCATTAACTTCCCAATCTTCTTCTTCTTCTTCCCCAGATGATAACAGCCGTCTGCTGCCCTCCTCCACCGCCACCGCGTCATCACTCCTCTTCAAAAGCTACAACTCCCTCTATGACAGCTCCTTTGACTACTCAACCTCCAACTCCTTCTCTTCTGATCCCCAGCCTGAGCCTGAATCCCAATCCGAACCCGACTTTGCCACCGTTTTTGCCTCACAGCGCTTCTTTTTTACTTCTCCAGGCAGCTCCAACTCCATCATTGAACCAACCCCGAAATCAGTTGCGACTACTCCGGATTCATCAGAGACCCTAGTGGCCAGCAGTTCCAGTCCCACCAGTACCGCAAATCAATCCTCAAAAGACGGTTGTGCCTGTGATCAACCGAGTCACGGACATAGTAGCCCTTCAACGACTGTTAAAAACAGTGTAGCTGTCACAACTTTCTCTCCTAATCCATACATGGATTTCAGGAGATCCATGCAGGAGATGGTGGAGGCGCGCGACTTAATCGAGGTCAAGGCTAACTGGGAATACTTGCGTGAGCTTCTTTTGTGTTATCTTGCATTGAATCCCAAAGCTACTCACAAGTTTATTATAGGAGCATTTGCTGATCTTCTTGTTAGCCTAATGGCTGCAGAGGGGGGCGGCAACGACGGAAACGTCACTGAGATTACCGGCGGTAGGATTCCAGGGTAGTGCAAGTAAAAAATGTGCAATTTGGTTTCCAATCAAAATAATGATTATCTAATCTTGTTACATTTAATCTAGTAATATAGAGATAAGGGCAACTAAAAGTTGGTCCCTTTTTTTTTTTTTGTCTTCTATACTTCCACAATTCTATCACCTTATCTTCTACACTGTGTTCCTTTGGTCCGTGCTTAAAACATTGCAATTTATCTGCGGTTCATTGATATAGTTAGGTTGAATTTTACTATGTTCCTTTTAAATTTTAGCCATGCCTTTTGTCTTTTGCATGCACGCCTCGCCTGTCGTTTCTTTCGAAGTAACTGAGAGAACGTACATTATAATTATAAGATTAAAAAACCTCAAATTCAATGTGAGCTTGGAATCAGAAACGTTGGTCTAATGCACAAAATCATAAATGGATAGCAATGGCTCGTAGAATTACGTCAAATGGACAGATTAAACAGTAGATAAATTTTTGGAGGCAGAGTCCTTTGTCTTTTACAAGTGTGATTGAGATGAAGCCAAAAAATTTCATCATTTAACAAGTTTCCAGGACCCTCCCTATAAGAATCCTTTCAATGCAGACAATTTCTGGATTAAAATAACCAAACCAAATTGGAATCAGTAAAAAATTACCATTAAAACCGACAGGACCAGGGAATCTTGAATTTGTCCCTTTTTTTTCCCTTCCGTAAAAGGACATGATGACTTGTCCCATTGCAACTTTGATTTATATTTTTTTTCTAGGTGCTTCATAATTGTCTACATGATGACCGAACATTGGTCCATCTTGCACCAAAGATTAGAATTTTGAATTAATGAGTGATCACATGTTCATGTCATGTCACACCCAAGGGGTAAGGATGTCCTGAGAGTCGTAGCTATAGTTATTGTTTTAGTTATCAAACACAGCAAACAATGCTTTAAATGTTAGTTGGTTTTCAACATCTGACTTTGATTTAAACAACGAATTATTGCATAATTGCATCAAAGCCAAGATTAAGTTACTCCCTCGCATAATAGGGGAAGTTAGTGGCCCAAGTTTGTGTATGACAGACCCATCAAAATGTCCGAAGCTATAAAGAGCTGGGCCTAATGAACGAAGCAAACGCCTTTTCCATTCTCCACGCACTTGCAGCGGAAAAAAAAAAAAGAATGCCAATGTCAAATTGCTACCATCTACTGTGAACCAGACCAGGCCAACGTTCAATATTCCAGCCGAAACGTAATTCTCCACAATGCAGTAACACCTCATGACCCAACGGAAGTTAGCCTTGTCGACTAGAAATGGACATTTCTTATCCGTTCTCTTTAGGCTTGATAATCAAAACAAACTTAATACAGAGAAACTGACAGTGGGGAATCCAGTTATGGGTTTTGGAGACACTAACAGTCTACCCCTAAGGCCAGTAGTCTTGGACATTTTGGTATATATATTGCCCACGCACCCGAAGGCCCCACTGATGACGGAAGACCATGGTAGTTCCTGACTTCCTATTCAATTATCAGAGGGAAATTATTATAATTACTAGCACATATAAAGCAAATTGAATACATATTATGAGAAGAACAAAATTGGTAAAAGAGCTGTTCAAAATAAGAGCTTCGTATCATATCCAATACCATTGGAGACAACTTGAGAATACTTTCCGTCCCCCTAATCTTTCTGCCAGTTGAGAAATTAATCTGTGATTTTCAACTGTCTTGGATTCGCATGCAACCGTAGTCATAAGGTTCTGAAGCTCCGCAGCTGATAACTCGCCTTCTCTATCATGCCAAAAGTCAAAATCCAAAAACTGATGAAGCCGAGATACAAATGTAACACAATGGAAGAATGTACAATAAATTCATATAACGCTTTTTTTTATAAAGTTTCAAAATCATACTAACATCTGAGTAATCATTTTCTCCCACATGCAGCTCAACTGTCTTCTTCTCAAACCCAATATTCCCCTTAAACTTGGGTGGTCTTCCACGCTTACACTTTACCATCTTACCCACCTTACCTCCATCAGAGCAATTGCTCTGTCCTCTTTCTACAATAACAGCTTTCTTTTCATCCCCGTGACTGCACTTCATTCCGGGTCTCCTCCCAGGTTTTTTCTGCATCTCCTTTGCTTCACTGTGAGAGTGATCACTCTCCTCCTTAACCATCTCAACTGTTTTCTTCTCACAACTATTGCTATCACCGGTTTTATCACCTCCAATCTCACCCTTATCACCTCCGTTCTCACTCCCATTTTTCAGTGCAAATCTTGACTGCAAACTATGCCAGCAAACTGCACTTTACCTTCAAAGCCTTCCTCCTTCACCTTTTCCTTCACGCTTTATCTTTTTTATCATCTTCATTGTCCTACATACTACCCTTTTTCTTCTCATTCTCATTCAATTCACCAACTTTTAAATTTCCCACCTCACCATCTCCCCAACATTCTTAGATCTCCTCTTTTTTCTCAATTTCACCCTCTTTCAAAGAAGCAACTTCAGAGTCGTCATTCAAATCAAAAACCTTTTGCTTCAACTCAACCCCTTTATTTTCCTCAGTGTCTTGGCTTGGCAAAACCTCATCTTCCTCAGGTTTCACCTGCAAAAAGCCGGATCCCAAAACCCCTCCCATCTCTTACAAAACCCTAGCTTCAAAAACGATACTCCTTTTTTTTGGCTCACGAAATCATCTCACTGGAATTATATCAAAACAAAACAAGTAAACAAGTCCCATTGGTTTCACTTTGGCCACAAAAATATTTAACTGCCCAAACTACTCAGTTATTATTTTCAACCAAAAATTAAAATTGAGAGAAACCCTAATGAAGGGAAAAAGTTGATTTTAGGTGCATGATTAGGAAAAGCTCTCGGCTCACGATAGCAGGACTTTCTTGAGTGGAGGATTTCCTCGCTTAAGCCATCGATTCTAGTGCAAACTTCATCATTGCTAGCTAGCTTCATCTAATTTCTTCCATTTCAGTAGTGATTTCTTTGGTCCCGGAATAAATTTAGTGAGTTGGTTCTTCATTGAACTTAAACTATGGTTTTGAGATAGTAGCAATCGACGATGTGAAAGAAACCATCTCTTGCTTCACAATCATTTTCCTTTGAAAATTTTGGTAAGGATCAACGTAATACTGAGATTAACAATGAGGATTGCGTAGTTGTTGGGTTGAATGCAGAAAAGATTGTCGATCTGCAAGGCAGCGAAAGGAGATCACAAATGGATTGGAGGAATCTATTTGCAACCCTAGTGGATCAAGCGTTGGAGTACTTTTCCCTTCAACAGACAGGTAGAATAACTGTAAAACCTCCTGATGATGTCTTCGAGAAAGGTATCCATCAATGGCAAAGCTCGCTGGTAGCTCAGTTCATTGGAAGGATGCCAAATTTTAATTTATTTTAAAAGATGGTTAATGTTTTATGGGGAAAAAGTGATTTAATTGAGATCAAGCCTGTTGAAATGAATCTGTTTATCATTCAATTCCCAAATGAGGAAATTAGGGATGGGTGATAGAACATAGACCATGGCATATCCAGAACAAACCATTGATTATTCGAAAATGGGAGCCAATAATGCAATCATTAGAGTTTAACATGGAAATGCTGCCAGTATGGGTGCAATTGGGCAATATACCACTTGAGCTCTATATGAAAAAGGGACTTAGCTATATAGCGAATGCCCTAGGTAATCCATTGTATATGGATTCGATCACTGCAAACAAGCAGAGACTGACGTATGTAAAAATTTGTATTGAGATGAAGGCAAGTATGGAAGTGCCAAAGTTCATTGATGTAGAAAGGAGGGATGGATCAATTATGTCTATTTCAGTAGAAATTCCATGAATGCCACAGAAATGCAAGCACTGTTGTATATTTGGGCACAATGATAAAACTTGTACAAAGAAAGTAAACACAGAAGCAATGGTCTGGGTGCCTAAGGATAAGGGTAATACGCAGGAGGCAAAGTTGACTGAAGTGGTTGATATACAACCAAATAGTGCCATAAGGAAAAATAAGATTTTGATTGCACTCTCAACTATTAGAGCAAGTTTTGTTAATAGATTCTCGATCCTAGAAGCTGTGCAAGAATCAGACTTGGTAGTGGATGAAAGTAGTGTACATCAGAGTTCAAAAAATTAGGCTGAAGAGATAATTCTATACTCACTAAAGAAACAGACAGCAGCGGCTGCAGGTGTTGCTGATTTAATGAAGGCCCTTAAATGTAAGAAGAAAGTTCCAATTGATAAGGGGAAGAAGGTTAAGGTAGGAGCCACTGCCTCTGGAGGTAAGCTTAGTTGTTCTTGAGGTAAGGATTTAATGATCCTCGAAAATAAAAAAATGTAGTAGATAAAATAAATAGAATAAAGGCAAATATTGTGTGTTTATTAGAAACTAGAATAAAGCATCGTAAAATGTAGCCTGTGCTGGAAAAGCATTTTCGTGGTTGGGGTATTCTTCACAATTATACAGCATCTCCAAACGAAAGGATATGGTTATTATGGAGAGATCATGTGCTAGTGGACCCATTAGAGTTTTCTGAGCAAAGTATTACTTGTGTGTTACAATATGAAATTAGAAAAGTTTATTTTTTTGCCATTTATGGGAGTAACGACAGTGTTCAAAGAAGGAACTTATGGTTGAACTTAACTCATATCAGTGGTATAGTGCAAGACAACCCTTGGATTTTGGTTGGGGATTTAAACATTATAGTCTATCCCTCTGAAAGCTCAGATTATAATGGAGTTAATCAGTAAACTCAAAGATAAAGGATTTTTAGAATTGTTTAACACAACTAGGCTTTTTTTATCATGCTTATGTTGGACCTCAATTTACTTGGTCTAACTATCAGTTAGGAAGTTACTTAGCAAGGAAGTTGGATAGAGTTTTGATAAACGACTCTTGGCTTTTAGTTTTCCCACAGTCGCATGTTGAGTTCTTAGCTCCAAAAGTATCTGATCACTGGCTGCACTTGTCAAACTCAGCATGATAATTCAATCCCCTCCAAAGCCTTTTAACTTTTTTAACTATTAGACAGGGAATTCGAAGTTTAAGTTAATTATGAAAAGATCCTGGGAATACCCTATCAAAGGTAGCCCAATGCTAATATTGCATAAGAAGTTAAAGAGGTTGAAACTGGAGCTTAGAAAGTTCAATTTTCAAAATTATGAAAATTTGTCTAGTAGAGTGCAAACAAAGAGGAAAGAATTGGAACTAATGCAAGAAGCCATTCTAACTCAAAACCCACCAAAAGAACTGGTTATGATTGAGAGAAGGCTATATAAAGAACTCAAGGACTTGATGAAGGCTGAATAGAGTTATTATAGACATAAATCAAAAAAAGACAGCTGCAAGAAGGTGATCAAAACACAAAATTTGTCCACAATTTGGTAACAGCAAAGCATAAAAAGAATACCATACAGGTCTTAATGGATTCAAAAAAGAAGAGATTGGATACATTTGACTAGATTTCACATGAAGCAACCTCTTTTTTTCAGAAGTTAATTGAAACTATGGATCAAAACGTTACAAGATACACACGAGTTTTTGGCAAAACTCCTTCAAGGGACCTTATCTACAAAAGCTCAAGATTTTCTTATACAACCAGTAACTAAAGAGGAAATTCAGAAGACAATGTTTTCATTAAATGGTGAGAAATCCCCAGGACCTGACGGTTTTAATGCACATTTCTTCAAACAAATTTAGAGCATTGTCGGAGATGATGTTACTAAGGCTATAGAGCATTTTTTTTCAAACTGGGAATATGCTACTTGTTTTTAACTCTACAATAGTAGCATTAGTTCCTAAATGCACCAATCTTAATAGTATAAGGGATTACAGACCAATTTCTTACTGCACCATAATTTACAAATGTATCGCTAGGATTCTGGCTAACTGATTAAAGGAAAATCTGCCTGGGATGATAAGTCGTAATTAAAGTGCATTTATAGAAAGTAGAAGCATCATGGATAATGTATTGCTAGCTCAAAAAATGGTTCGAGGGTATGATAGATCCACTTTATCTTCGAGATGTGCAATCAAGATTGATCTTCAGAAAGCTTTTGATTTAGTGGACTGGAGCTTCATACTCTCAGTCTTGCATGCAATTAAGTTACCGAATCAGTTTATAGGATAGATAAAAAGTTGCATTACTACTTCTTTCTTCTCCTTATCACTTAATAATGGACTTGTAGGCTATTTTAAATGAGCAAGGGGAGTGCAGTAGGGAGATCCACTTTTCCTTTACTTGTTTGATCTAGCTATTAATGTTTTGTCTAGATTATTGGATGTTGCTGCTGTAGCTGATGTCTTTGATTATCACCTAAATGTAAAAGAATTAAATTAACTCACGTTTGCTTTGCTGATGACTCGTTGATTTTCGTAAAGGGAACATTGGACTTAGTGGTAGAGATAAAGGTGGTGTTAGAGGCATTTTATACTATGTTTGGCCTACAGTTGAACTATGAGAAAAGTGAGCTCTATCAGGCAGGGGTTAGCGGGGAAGAACTTGCCAGAATCCAGCAAGCTTTTGGGTTTAAGATGGTATTACTAGTTAGGTACCTTAGGGTCCCATTGGTGTCTAAAAGGCTCACAGAGAAAGACTGTGCACCTTTAGTCAGCAAGATAATAGCAAGGATTAATAGCTGGGGCTACAAGACACCTAGCATACGCTGGCAGGTTACAACTAGTATAGTCAGTGCTTTTTAACGTGCAAAACTATTGGTGTAGGCATTTTATCCTCCCAAAACATGTGCTGAAGAGGATAAACAAGTTATGTTCTGGATTCATTTGAAAAAGAAAAGAAGGATCAGCAAAATGAGCTAGAGTAAGTTGGCAGGCAATATGCTATCTTAAGTTTGAGGGAGGGCTTGGAGTTAAAGATATCTTGACCTGGAATCTAGCTTGTGTCTTGCAAAACATCTGGTCGATAATTGTAAAAGCTGGTTCTTTATGGATCACTTGGATTGAAGCTTATGAATTGAAGGGGAGAACCATATGGCAAGTAGCTACCAAGCAAGCTAGCAGTTGGAATCGGAGGAAATTACTTCAAATAAGGTAGATTGTGCAAAACTTCATCAAAAAGAAAAACGGAATGGAGGTATGGCCGTTTCCAAAAGGACATTATGACACTGCCATGGTATGGGAAAAGATCAAACCATAACAACAAAAAGTGGGGTAGTAGAAACTAATATGGTTCAAGTATCACATCTCAAAACATTCACTAATAACTTGGATGGTGATTTTAAATAGACTTTCAATGAAGGTAGGTTGTGATCATAGGAAATAAAAATTGATAGTAGATGCAACTTATGTTACAATAAAGATGAAACAAGAGATCATGTTTACTTTGAGTGTGTCTATACAAAATAAGTTTGGCAAAAAATCCTTCAGCTATGCAACATTGATAGAAGAGTAAAAAGTTAAGACGCTGATTGAGCCGGGCAGAGAACAGATTAAAAGAGAAAGCTTTGATCTCAATTCTATTAAGAATTGCTTGGAATACATGTATATATTTCATATAAAGGGAAAAAATTAAAGGATATTCAAGCAAGGGCAGATGACAACTGCACAAATGGTGGACAAAGTCAAGAAAATTGGAAGATACAGGCTGCATGAATTGATACATATTGAAGGAGATATGATAAACAAAAAACTTAGTAAAAATTAGAATCTGAATATAGAATTTTTAGAATAAACTATTAACGAATGGTTTTTCTTCTGTTTATTAAGTTGTAAAACAATTATATTATAATATATTCCTGCTGATTTTAGATAAATAAAATTTTAATTTATCCTAAAAGAATTAAAATTTAAGTCATTGTAAAATAATTTTAATAAATTTAATTTTTGTACTTTTTGAGATGTAAAATATTAATCTAAAAATTAATAATTTATAGAATTACCTTTAAGTTGTTAATACGATCATTTTTTATCATATGAGCTGATGGCATGATTTTTTTTTCTAATTGTTTAAATGTTATGGCAGATAAAAACTAAAAACAAAAAAAAAGTTGTAGACGTGAAATTTACGTAATCAAAGAAAGCTATACTGACAACTTAACGATAACATTTAACATCGTAAAAAGTACAAACTAAATTTATCAAAATAATTGCGTAAGAATTAAATTTTAAGTTTTGAATAAGTTTAGGGACCCATCCATAATTTGACCCAAAAATAATCTCTATCACAATCCCACGTAATTCAAGGATACAACCTAGGCCCATTTAGCTTGCGAAGGTTCTAATATTCTAACAATTAGAATAGATCTATGATTTTTTTTTTTTTTTGTTGGGGTGGGGGGGTCAATGTTGATCACACCGGCCGGGATAATGACTTCGGCCTCAAAGACGCAAAGGCCCATATGGCCTCAATTGCAAATAATCTTCAAAACAACTTTGCTTATCTTAGAATTGGGCTGGCCTGCTTATTATTTGGGATTTCAATGGGCTTTCGGCTCATTTTGTTACTTCTATGTCGGTTTAGGCTTAATCATAGATGATAAAGGGTTTTGTGCTTCTTTTCTTTTTAATTTAACAGTGTTTTCTCTTTTGTGGTTAAACGATTTCATGAATTTGAAGAGGATGTTCCTTTCCGCGATCGTCTGAACAAGGTACAAAACGACCAACCCCTTCGAATAGCTTACGTTCTTTGATTAGATTCTGATGGGCCGCCTGACATCCACCGTCGAAACCCCGGAACGAAGACGCCAATCTGACTGCGAAAACGGCCGTTACATATCTGAATCTGATGGTTCCCCAATCTACCATCGCCGCCGCCGTAGCCCTAGCTACGATGCCTTTGAACGCGACAACCAGAACCGCGTTGGTAACCAGCAGCGTAAGCGTTCTTGTTCACCTGAATACAGGAACCTTAGAAGAGGAAGCTCTGTCGGAATTCCTGAAAGAAGACACCGTTTTGACCGTGAAAATGGTCGCTACGCATCCCAATCCGATGATTCTACCGATTACGGCCGCCGTCGCCGTAGTCCCAGTTACGAAATCTATGATCGCGATCAACCTCGCAACCGCCACCGTTCCGAGTCACCTGAAGACCGAAACTGTAGAAGACGGAGCCCCGCCCATGACCGAACCATAAATTCTCTGCCGAAACAATTCGGCAGAAATCGTAGCTACCTGGACCGAGATTATCGGAACGGAAAACATTCACAGTCCGAATCGGATGAGGAATTGAAGGGATTGAACTTTGAAGAGTATAGGAGGCTGAAGAGGCAGAAGATGAGGAAGGCATTGAGATTCTGTATTTGGGAGAATACACCGAGTCCGCCTAGGACTGAAGACGATGATTTGGAGGATAAAGCTGATGAAATTTCGGAGAAGTATGGCGATGAGAAGAGCGATTCTGATAAAGAAACAGAGAAGAAAATCAATAAGAGAGTGAAAGCCAAGTTTGAGTCTGAAAAATCTGGATGTAGCGACTCTGAAAGTGAGCCAGAATCTGAATCGGATGATTTGAGGTCTCGGAAGAGGAAGAAGGGGTCGAGTTCTAAGCGTAGAAGTAAGAAAAGCAAACGTGCAAGTAGGAAAACATCATCTTACAGTGATAGCGAATCTGATGAGAGTGAGAGTGAATCTGATGATGAGGAAAATAGGAAGCTGAGAAGGAAATCGAGGAGAGAGCAGAGTAGGCGAAATAAGTGTAGCAAGAAAAGCAGTAGAGGAAAAGGAAGCAGGAAGAAGCGCAGCTATAATGAGAGTGGGAGTGGTGAAAGTGAAACTGAAATATCTGATATGAGTCAATCTTCGAATGATCTTGTCGAGTCCAAGAAGCGGAAAAGCTCTTCATATTCAAGGTCTAGGAGGACTAAGAAAAGGAGAGGATCAGAAACTGATAGTCAAGGTTCATATATGGATAATAGCTCAGATTATGATGTGGATGCCAAGAATAAAACAAAGGCAAATGACGCTAAGATTGCTGAAATGAGTGCTGAGGCTCTTATGTTTAAAGAAATGATAGAGGCTCAGAAGAAACCAGCATTGGATAATGAGCCAATGGTTGGGCCAGCACCGTTGCCAAGAGCAGAGGGGCATATAAGTTACGGTGGTGCTTTGAGGCCTGGTGAAGGTGATGCCATTGCACAGTATGTGCAACAAGGGAAGCGTATCCCACGAAGAGGTGAAGTGGGTCTTTCTGCTGAGGAGATTCAAAAGTTTGAGGGCCTTGGGTTTGTGATGAGTGGTAGTAGACATCAGAGAATGAATGCCATTCGTATTAGGAAAGAAAACCAGGTTTACAGTGCAGAGGACAAGAGGGCATTGGCAATGTTTAACTATGAAGAGAAAGCAAAACGAGAACACAAGGTTATGGCTGATTTGCAACGGCTTGTGCAGCGCCATATTGGGCAGGATGTTGGTCCTACTCACAATCCTTTTGCTGGAAAAGATGGGGCTGATGCGTGAATCTCATGTATGTTCAATTATGTATATGCTGTTTTTGTTATTAGTTTATTGCTAATTTGTTTGTGTGTGTTGCAATGGAAGCATTATTGCTAATAGTAACTGCTGAGGACTACCTATCAAGTGTTTTTGAGTGTGTGTGTAGAAGGCAGCCTTTTTACTATAGTATATAGAGTAGAGAAATAAGAAAAATTGTGGTATGTTGGCACTATTTGCATTTTGGTGATTTTCTCTAGGATGTTATCAACGTTCTTAAACTTATTCAATGTTAATTATAGTGATACTTAAAGTGGGAAGAAATTATTATCAGTTGGCCCTGGTGGAGACTAATGGTGAGAAAGAGTAAAACTTAACCAGTGTAAACATTATTCTTCTGATGTTTTCCTTAGATTTGTGGACAGGTAGGTATCGTGAACTACCTGGGGACTGAATGTTGAGTTGGTACACAAAGAGTTAAAGAGTTTCAACTTCTGAATTCTCATGCTCTTCTCTGGAGTGCTTTGGTTATCGGCTTATTGCTAGTGTTTAACTTTGAAATTCTTATCTTTGGTGTCATGAAACTTAAGAAATCAATTGGTCCTGACCTATGTTCCTTATTTTTTTCCCCTCTAAGTTAGCAACATTATTTGTGTGGATATAGGTCTCAAATGATGAAGACTGCAATGATAATAAAAATATAGGTGTCATGAAACTTTGAACCAATCTTTCATGTGAATATAGGTCTTAAATGATGAAGACTGCAATGATAATAAAACTATAGTATGAGCAAGGTTATCCTAATTTATCAGCCTTGGAATGTCTTATCCTGACACTGCCAAAAGCTGGACGAAGGTTCTTGGTTTTATAGTTAAAGTTTTAAGAAAAGTTTGTCGCATTTTCAACTTTAGGTCCTAATGCTGCATACCTTTCAAGTATCTAAGCTTGAGGGGCTAAAAGCTTGGAATTTTGTTATGGAATTTCTAAATTGACTGCCATGTCTTAGAAATTATTGAAGCATATTAAGTTTTTCAGATTTTAATTGAAGGATGGCAGGCTTGGATGAGTTGTCTTTTGAGATTTTTACCAGGTTTAAAAAGGTTTACTACCCCTCTTATTTCAGTAGCTTGGTCACATTCAATTTGAGTTTTGTATTTTTTTTTTTTTGTTTGGATTTCTTATTGTGGACCAGACTTTGTGATTAAGTGATGATTGATGATGTGCATTCTGGTAAGTTTGGAAGCATAATAGTTTTTCTTGGGTGTTTGATCTAATATCTTGCTTCCGCTCTTGTCAAGGCCACAGGATGTTGTAGAATGTGTTTGTTCTCTTTTTTACCCTTAATACATTCACAGTGGATAAGGAATCCATAGCTCAGATTGGTGGATATTATGGTTCCTGCTCAACTTGCTGAATATTGGAGAAAGACATGCTAGAGGGGTACTTGGGAAAATTTTTGGAGAATGACAAAGAAGAAAGAGAGCTTGTAGCATGATATACAGCCTGTCTAGGAGGTTTTATTTAAATGAAGGGATTTTACTAGAGTGCAACATGCTAGAGAAAAGGAAACGGTTCTGATATCATGTAAAAAGAGTTAAAAAGTTAGAGAATTGATTATTAGTTTATCACAGTAATTGCACGGAAACTTGACGTCAAACATGTTACTTTTTGTTGTGCAGATTCTTGAACTTGTCACTAGAATTGAACAAAGTCATCATCCGAGATTTGGCAGTAGGTAAGGGAGATTGTGACAGTACACAGACCAACGAACAAGTTCATCTAGGCATCATTCCTTGGATGTTTGAATCTATGTAGTGTATGCATGTGGCTGATGAATAGCGGCAGCAACAGTGAAAACTTGAGTGTTATTTCTCGCTTTGCACACAATTTCTTCTGCAAAAGATAAATGCTAGGTGCTATTGCAATTATAAAGAAGAATCTATTGAGTGGAATAGACATTTTACGTAATGCACTATAAAATTACATTTGTCGGTTTCTTAATCAAGGAATTTTTAATTAAATACTATGAAAATCAGGTGGGATTACAGATCATATCTTTTCTACAGCAGTGGTTTGTATGGACAGCCCCGTTTAGACAATCAGGTAAACTACCTTTCCTAGGAGGAGCATTGGCCTATTGTGTTGGGGTTGATTAGAAATTAGCACGACTACTGATGCTACTCGAGAAGGGTTGATTCCTTTACTAAAGTATCGGCTACCGAAAATATTGTGGTGGGCAGTGGGCAAGGAGTCAAACAGCAAGATCCATGGGACATGGGGCCTTAGCCCTAGAGGGGGAAAGCTTGAAAAATAAAACAGAGTTAGTTCACCCTTTTTTTAAGTACTTACAGTTTTGATTATGAAAAAGAATTGATACTTTCGTTTCCGATTTTCCAGTTTACATATAAGTCTTAGGTTTAAGCTTGATTAAAATAGAGCCCATGGTTTGTTTTTTTAATTAAGGTGGAATCTCCCATTTCCATACTCCCATGCATTTACGAAATTGTGTTAAGAGATGGGCCCAGCAGTATGAATTCCAGCTGTCGAACACTCAGTCAAGAACATTAATGCAGGGAAAATGATATAAAGCTAGTTTCAGGTAAAATACTCTGTTCTACTTGATAAAAAGAAAAAAAAAAAAAGGTAGTTGTTGGCCCCAAACTACGTCGCAGAAAAAGTCCAAACAGCAGCTTTAGCTTTCATAATTGTCATTAGTTAGGCATAAACATCACCATCTCTCCTACAACATGGTTTTGCAAGTGCAATTGAATATGGGTTACGCATCTTAGATGATTTGGAGCTTTCAGCACATGGGAATGAGGTTGCTTGTTGAAACATGTCAAAGAAAAAGGGTGTTCAAGTTTTAGTCTTTGTTTTTTTCGTCTCCATTCTGTTTAGTTAGCCAACATGAATGACATGATTGGAGTAGTTAAGAGAAATAAGGAGTTTTAATAGTTACTTGTTGAAACCGGGGGACAAACAAACGAGAAAACGGCATAAAGGTTGAAAGTTGCACTGTCTTCGATTGGGCAACCCCTATTTCCACGACATAAGAGTTGTGCTACTACTAGTAATGGGAGAGGTCATAGATCAAACTGCTAATTACATCAAATTAACTAATCTTAATATCGAATTATGATGATTCCTGTCATCATATTTTTCGTTTAATGATTTACATAATCTACAGAATTTTGCAGTGCTAAATAAAAGGAATCAAAAATTTTTGAACAATTTTACTCAATTGCAGTCACTTGATGCTGTTCTGAGTTATTAGTACAAAAGTTTACTGTTGTTTTATATGGCAAAGTTAATTGTATTTGCGGACCCACACTTCATATGGCCTTCTTGAAAGCTACGTTAAGCCAAGAAGCCTACCTACTTAGCTTGAGATTCACGGTGAAACTGAAAAGAAATAGTAGCAGAAAATAGAAATGACTGTCACTAAATCCATGCTTTCAACTACTTTATTTAGAAATTTTGAGTAATCCTCGCTCGTTATTCTTGATTATTGATGTTTGTCTTTGTCATTTGGAAGCATGACAAGGACTTCAATGTCTTTATAGATTGTTGAAAACATTACTGTAGTATTCTGCGTGATATAACATTATTTTCTATGCTACTTAAAAGTGCACAAAAAGCTAAGATTCGAAATGTAACAGGGTCACAGCTCTCTGTCGTTGGCTTTTTCCTTTTTTAATATTTGAAGCGATCGAAATTTTTACCTTAATAATTAAAATTAAGAATTCAATATTCCCATTGTTGGTATGTCATTGGCTTTGCCATTGAACAATCTTGTAAATCTCGCTGCTTGTTTCATCTGCATCAAAGGTTTGATTCCAAATGAGTCGTTTGCACACATTTAATCAATTTGTCTCTTGGCATTTCATGGTATCTGTTAAGAGTTGGAAAGCTTGGAGACAGACAGACGGAGTAAAATGGGACCAAAATCATGGGCCAGGACATGATAAATGTGAAAATTTACTCGTACAGGATTCACAGACGGACACTAACATACAGATGCAACATCTCACAACAATATCTCACAATTTCCTGGATTTTGTTAGGAATTCCTGGTATTCCTTACCTAAACTAGTGTTGTTGGGTCTACATCAGAGACTTATAAGTCAAGTGTCTAATTTTTTGGTTAAGCAGATTTGTGGGTTGTTAAAACCCTGTTTGTTTATTGAAAACCGCCGAGCTTTTTGTGCTTAAAATGTAAGGACAAATCCAATGCCAAATGGCCCAATGGTTACCTAGTCCAAACACTGCTTGATTGTTCTTGAAGCCAATTGACAAATGCCGTAAAAAAAATAATAACAAAGGGGAGTAGCCGAGTAGGCCCTTACATGATGATTTGTGTAAGTTCAACGAATAGCTGTTGTTTGGTGAGGGCATGCTAATATTTTTGCATCTTGTTAAAATTAAAATGCATTTCTAAAGTGTGGGTACCTATGGAATATATTTTTCTTCTTTTGCGGCGTAAAAAACGACATAAAATCATATATTGGTGAAACACGACTTTCGTTTGATCCAACTAACAGAAGCCAAATTTCTGATAAGAACTGGTCCACTCTTGAGGCATATTCAAACCAAGCATCAACCATTGGATGTGATTCACAACCTCTTCCTTAGTATGTATGGTATGTTTGATCCATGTCAAATTGTATTTCAAATTTTTAATGCAACATATAAGGCTATTCAACCACTTTAAAATCTGCCAAGAAAATTACATTTTCCTTTTATAGATTTTTTAAGTAATTTTGGGTTTCTAAGTGCAGTGTATCTAATTCTCTTGCACGTTCTAAATACAGTGAATCGCGTTCTCATTCTCAATAACTCGCTCTGCCCTCGTTGAACCAGTAATGAATTTCATCACTAAATTCAACATTCTCCTCAACATTAAAGTAATCATTGTCCTCGAACGACAAATATATATTGGATCAATCAAATTCAAAGCCGCCGTGAGTAATGGGGTTTGCATATGGAATCAGGAGGCTTTTAATGCAACTTGGTTCACACTCTAGCAAACCGTTGCTTTTGCTTTGCTTAGATTTGCCAGTCAAAATGGCCATGGTCGTGGCAGAAAACAATAGAAGGAGCTATCTAAATTCAATGTTTGAAGATAGGCCAAAAAAAAAAAAAAAAATCAATGCTTGACACTTCTCTTCCCCATTTTCATTTTTCATGCCAGTGGTTAACTGTTGAAGAATAAAACTTTACTCTTCTTTACAGTCTTACCCTTTTCTTTTGCTTGTGCCAACCATTGACCAATTCTCCCCCCATCAGTAAGAGTGGCATGATTTTTGTGGTAACACGCCAAAGCATCATAAATACCTGTTGAACATGCTAAAGAGAAAACAAATAAATAAAAAGGAAAAGCAAATGATGACAAAGCTCATCAATGGTTAAAAGAAAAAGAAGATTCTAATAAATGCTACTCCAATTCAGTGTTTTGACATAATTCATCTACACCAAAATACACTTTAAATGCTTTTGCAAGCATATGTCCCAATTCCCATAGTTGAAAGCCATTCTCATTGAATGCTCAACAACATCCTTTATTTTATATATGGTATAAGTATCTCTTTTTCTTTTATTTATATGATGATGTCCAACTGGATTATGATTGTTCCCTTCTTACCTGATGAAGATTGGGTGTACAGCTATACAAAAGTAAAACCAGTAAAGTCCATCGATGATGTAGATTTTTGAAAAAAGTTTGGCGTTTTGGGTTCTAAATTTTGGATTGTTTTTCCTTCTCCAATGGCATGTGCAATGTCAGTATAAAGGAAAAGGGTCCCTTACTATTAGTATTTCTTTTATTAATTGTGGCCAATAAGAAAGAATTAAACTTGTCTCTACTACTAAAGCAGGAATGCAGAAAAACAAATTTCACAAAATAAATAAATAAAATGAGTGTACGTGAATGAAACAGATATAGAGGGAGATACCTTTTTTAGCTTTTCTTTTGTGTAACGTTGTATAAAAACCCAGCCTTTTTCCAGCGAATACCCAGTTGCCGTTTTCTTTCAATTTCCAGGATTTTTTTTTTTTGCCCCCCTCCCCCCTTCCCCTCTCCCTTTTCTCTCCATTCCCACTTGACTTAGCTCTGTCTAGCTCATTATTTTCACTATCTATTTTCCTCTGTGTTTCTCTCATGTCCCTTTTGCAGTCCTTTTTGGAAGACAATTCTGGCCATTCCTGAGATGGACTTAAAACAGACATTGACAGTGAAGCAAATCTAAGTCCTCTCTGTCTATATCTCTCTCCTGTGTACAACCTTAGGCCGCCCAAAACCAGACACCCAGATCAAACTGAAGCGTTGAGAAACTAACTTTTGAAGCTTTTTTGGAAGTGGGTTCTTGAGTTCATCATCAATTATCTGAGGTGGGACTACTATTGTTCCTTTTTTTTTTTTTTTGCGCTAGCAAAGGGACACAAAATCTTTGCTTTAGCTAGAGAGGTTTAGTAAAAGAAAGAATTTTTTTTGCCTTCTTTGGTTATTACAATGAGGGACTTTCCTTCTTGTTTTGGTGAAAACGGTGTTCAAGTGGCTGATTCATCAGCATCATCGTCAAGTGCAGCTAAAGCTGCTCAAAACCTGGTGAGTTGTGTTTATCAGTGTAAGTTACATGGTCGTTCATGCTTAATTACGGTTACATGGACTAAGAATCTAATGGGCCAAGGCCTTAGTGTTGCAGTTGATGATTCATCCAATCAATGTTTATGTAAAGTTGATATAAAGCCCTGGTTGTTCTCTAAAAGAAAAGGATCAAAGAATTTAGAGGTAGATTCTGGTAAAATTGATATATGTTGGGACTTGTCTAATGCTAGATTTGGTTCTGGGCCAGAGCCAGTTGAAGGATTTTACTTGGCTGTTGCATTTGACCAAGAAATGGTGTTACTTCTGGGGGATTTAAAAAGGGAAGCATACAAGAAGATTGACACTATTGCTCCCCTCAGTTCCGATGCTGTTTTTATTGCAAAGAGAGAGCACATTTTTGGGAAAAAGTTTTATGGTGCCAAGGCTCAGTTTTGTGACAAGGGACAGTTGCATGATATCATAATCGAGTGTGATACTGTCGATCTTAAGGATCCATGCCTTGTTATCCGCATTGATAGTAAGACAGTGATGCAGGTCAAGCGGCTCAAGTGGAAGTTCCGTGGCAACCATACCATTTTGGTGGATGGACTTCCAGTGGAAGTGTTTTGGGATGTGCATAACTGGCTATTTGGAAATGCTTTGGGCAATGCTGTTTTCATGTTTCAAACTTGCCTCTCTGCTGAGAAATTGTGGGCCAGCCAGTCTATATTTGATCCATCTGTATTGACATGGTCTTACTCTCAAAAGTTTAGAGATCACCAAGTACAGGGTCTTGGTTTTTCATTAACATTGTATGCTTGGAAGCATGAATAGAAATGTAATTTTTCACTTGTGAGATTTAGAAAATACTTTATGCTATGATTTTCACAGATATGTGATTGAAATATAGTACTAGCAACCTAGAAGTTGGGGTTCAATTGTTTTTTGTCTGTTCTTCTGCTGCTTATATTATATTAACAGCATAAATCAATTGTTCTGGTTGCTTTTGTCACGTTAACCTGCGTTTTAATTTCTAAGGAGAACTGTTATGGAGACTAATGGATTGCAGGAATCTGGTTGCAATCAGAATGTATGAACGTAAAATGCAGAAGCATTGCTGTAAGATCCCCCTCGTTCTTTCCTGACAATGAATGTTAGCAAGAAGCATGACCTCTGTTATTGCAGGCTTATGAATCCTCGAAATGAAGGCCATGAACATTTGGGATGGCTGAAAATTGAATATTTTCATGCACTATATTAGTGAGAGGCATGGAACAGGTGTGCTATATTTTCTCCTTTGCATTTATTTAGCTTTTGTTATAAGGTGAAAAGATGTAAAAGGAACTTCAAAAACCTATATAGAGCCCTAGTATAGCTAAGCAAATGGAACTTTCAATTTCAAAAAGCTTTAGTTTTATGATAGTATGCTACAAGTACTCAATTACATGATCATAGACTTCATATATTCATGATATCTTCTAGTCACTAAGGAAGCTAATGGAGTGGGAATCAGTGAAGAGATAAGATGTATTCTGAAGTGGATGTCAATGGTATTGCATGCGAGCCGTATTGCATTTAATTTTTGAAACTGTGGAAGGAATATGCAAATTGATCTTATGGAACTATTCATATTTAGATTCAAAAAGTTCCTTATAATTACCAGGACCTTAATTGGGGATAAGAGTTCAATGGCAAAAGGTTGAAATATGGCTAGGCTAATTGAGTCCTCTCAGTGATCAAAGTTGCGCACTTATACTAGATTCATTATAGTTGTTAAAAAGCTATTTCTTCTTATTCACAACTGGATGTCCTACAATATACAAGTTTTGCCTTCTGAATAAGAGTAATGATTCTAATTGCAAAAATCTCAAAAGTTCTAGGCAGTTTCTGTATTGATTACAAATAAGATGAATCTTATAACAAAATGAAGTTGAAGCATCTTTCCTGACATAAGTGGCAGTCTAATCTGCAATTGGCTGTTTCAGTGCATGAAGTGTTATATGAAATATTCATCCTTTCCATATCTCAGGATAGAATCTCTGATCCTTGATTTTCATGAACACATAAAAGCCAGCTGTCCATCTAAAAAGCAAGCAAATAAGAAGCTATTAAATGCTAAATAATCATTTTGCTTCGACACAATCTCCATTGAGAAGTGTTCTTTAATGTCCAAGGCTAACATTAACAGTCTGAACTCTGAACAATTTGGTTTCAATAGCTTAAAGATGAAGAATTCAGCTGATGCAAATGAACCAGTGTGGAAAATTTTACCTTTCTATTTGTACGATTACATGCGGCTGAACAAGGATGATGCAACAAGCTGTACTTAACCATTCTCCAATATGTTTTCCTTCCATTGTTTATATCCCTTCATAGAAGTATGGGGGTTTTCTTGGCTCCTAATAGCCCGCACGTGCCAAATATCTTCCCTCTGCACTTCCTAGTGAGTGTTTCCAGTGGCCAATCATCCCCTGATGTTATGTGGGGTAATGGGAGTGCATGGCTTGATGGTTCCATGAAGATCAATCCATTGCTTACACATATGCAAATGAGCTATTCCACTCCGTTAGTTCTCTCATAATTGCATTTTTTTTTTTTATAGAGCACCTCAAAAACCAGTCTTAACAAGACTGAACCCAGTAAATTAACATCTCAAAGGAGACCTTGTGTGTTTAATAAAAAATCAATAAAACATCTATTCAGTATCAGTAACATATCAAAAGACTGTGTGTTAAGAGAAAACTGTTTGTGAATTGCTTCCATCACCACAGAGCTCGATGCAATCACAGATATTGGGCATTTTCTTGCATAGAAGGTCTGAAGACCCTTTTTATCAGTCTCCACGCTTTGCAAAAGTTTTCAGGTAATTTGGTGAACACCCTTAAGACCGGTGAAGCTAAGAAGCAATAAGCTATTCCTTGTTGCTGTTACTGTTCCAGATGTTAATCCTGCATGACTGGATATTGCCACCAGTTTCTTATTGTATAATTTTCATAAAAACAAGTAATAAAATTAATATTATTGTATAAAAGATTATGCAAAGATATTACATACCAAATTACAAAAAGAAAGGAAAAAAAAAAAAAAAACTCAATGAGCTTCTAATTCTATCAAGTATGGACCAAATTTCTTCAATGAACCTTGTTTGCAAATGCTATAAATAAATCAAACTGAAGAACATTTAAAGCTAATTTATTTAAATGAATTCAAAATGTTAAGTTCAAACTGATTCAATAACATAAAAAATAGTAAATGAATATTTCACATCGAGAACAATAAAACGAAAATTATTTCCTCATGCTGTTTGCACCAAAACCAAACAAAAAAAATGCAAAAACAGGTTGAAAATTGAAATATCTATCAAAACGACGTCGTTGGAATTTTTGTTTTTTCAGAGAAGTAAATAATTGTCCCGGACAAAAAGATTTCAGTTGTCGAAAAAAACATGGGAACTTTATCGTCTCTGTTCCCTCTCTCACTTTCTGCTGCACCGAAGTCACCCCTTCACTTTGCCACGAAAACCCATTTTTATAACCCCATTTTCTTTCCTCCTTCCTCTTCAAAGCTTGGATCCAAAACGGTGGCTTTTGCAGGGAATCCAACGGACCCCAAACAGAATGAGTATCTATTCTTGGACGAAAATGGTGTCGTCGAAGACATGGATGGTTATCTCAACAATCTCTCTCTCGAGTACGACTCCGTTTGGGACACAAAGCCTTCCTGGTCAGCTTTCTTATTATCACTTGCTTTAATTGCCTTTTTTTTTCTTCTTTTTAAAGTGGTTTTTTCTTTTTTTGTCCGGGTTTCAGCTAACTTGATGAAATTTTGGCTGAAATTTACTGATTCAAACGGCTATATTTGGGTGATGCCGGGCTTGCTGAGTCATTGTAGCTAATTGTTTTTAAGACTGCACAATTTGAGCTGAATTTTGTCATTTGTTTATGCATCTGTCCTTGTTTTGATATATGGTCTGATCTTTCCCTTCCATTTGTTTGCTAGGTGTCAACCTTGGACAATTACGCTTACTGGATTGTTGGTGATTGCCTCTAGCTGGCTAATTTTGCACTCAATTGTGATCACAACTATTGCAACTCTGGGGATATGCACATGGTGGTACATCTTTCTTTATTCTTATCCTAAGGTACAGATTCTTGATTCTACATTGAATTATAGTTTTGAAGATATTTGGACAGTATCGAAAGCGGTTTACAATCTGTCTTTCCAGTCTAGTTGTCCTTTATTGATAAATTTTCTCGCAGTTGAACCCTGATGGTTATCCTAAAATAAAACATCTGTCAGAATTAAACCTATAAAGATAAAGCTTGGTTGGTTCATGATGTATCCAAGATCTACTGGACTATATCTTAAAAAAGGATGGAGGGATGAAGGTTCAAATTTGAAAATGCCTATTGTTTTTTTGACTTAGAGGCATCTTAAAAATTGGATGAAGTTTAGAGACAATGAGTTGCCTGGAATTGCTAAGAGCTTAGTCAAGTTAGTTTATACTGGGTCTTTCTGAACAGAGATATTCTGTCTCAGTGTTTGTGTTTTGTTAGTGAGAAACGATAAGAATTTTAACCTTTTTTTTTTCTGTCAGGCTTATGTGGACATGATAGCAGAGCGACGAGAGAGGGTGATGAATGGTGTAGAAGATACATTTGGTATGAGGAAGAATCAATGATTCTCTTACTCTCTGGTTGTATGTAAATTTTGTAGTCATTGCTTTATGTAGTGAATCATATCAGCAAAAACTAAGCAGATTTCACCTTTTAAGGAAGTAAACAAAGTATGCTTTCCTTTTCCCCTATGCGTAATCATACCAAGATTGTTTGTGCCTACAAACCAAAACACTTAACTACATAAACCAGGCCTACCGTTACACCCCAGAGCCTAATATCAAATATCCAACACCAAAGTTCAGTTCAATTTCTTTGCAAATATCTACGACATGTTGCATCTCTTCCATTTTAAGGTCCGATTTAATTCTTTCTGTCTCTGGCAACACAACCAGGATAATTTTGAGAGCAATATTGACAAATGAGCATACATGGCTCAAAATATGCTAAAATAACATTGATTGAGAACATTACCCACATATTACATCGCAGAACACATGGTGAATGAGAGCCTCCTTAATCAGCTGAAAAATAGCCTATTAAATTGACTGATCTTCTTAAGGCTTTCATCAGAGACATAAGTAAGAACAACCACAAGTACTGTAAGCAGGACAGACTCCGTAAACCTGACTAAATGATAGTAATTATGAAATCACTGATCTGCAACCGGAAGTGACCAGGAATAGGAAACCATAGTATTTTCCTCCTTTTTGCCTATGCACATATTAACATCAATTTTTATATTCATCAGAAATGTTAATGCTCCTCAAATGAGATCTGAGTACGTCATTAAAACAGGTATTTTTACATTTATCATAACTGACGAGAAGCATGTGATGTAAAACTTTTGGACTCCAAAGCCAGGGGAGAAATTTTTACGTTGTGGGAAGGTACTACAAACAGGTCAACTTTTAACAGTGTCAAGCATCTTGAATCCAAATCCTAATTGTTCAATCCCCATCAAGGCCAGCAGAGGCAATAGCAGGTCACAGAAATAAAAGTATCAGAATGGCCTTCAAGTTTCTGTATCATAGCTTTGGATTGGAGAAGATCCCATAGATAAACACATTTAACCTCTGATCCACTAAAAATGCATTTTCCATTTGTAACAGAGAATGTCGATGTTATACAGAAACTCTATTGGTATGTCCTCGGTATATTTTCAGAACTTCCCGGCCGAGTAATTCCATAGCTTCTGCACTCAAAAGGAAAAGAAAAAACACCAATAGAGCTAAAACCCAGGAGAATTAATATTATTTCACAGCTTAAAAGACGTTAACTTACAAGCGTGCTGTCGAGTGTAGCGACAACAATGAATTTCCCACTGGGAGAGAATTTGGTAAACGAGACAGCGGGATCTTTATCATCGATTAGAGTTTTCAACCGAGTCCCTTCTTTGGCATCCCAAACCTTGCACGACCCTCTTGGCTAACCGTTACGGTTAAAGTGCAACCGTGTCACTGGCATGGAATGGGCCTTAATCACCCTCAGGCACTTCCCTGTTTTCACTTCCCATATACGAATCCTTTCATCGAAATAGCACGAAACGATGCGATTCGACTGCCGATTTTTTTTTTTTTGGGCCAATGACTGCGGATTGAAGTTGATCAAAAGACAACGTCAAATGACCCTTGACGATCTTGAGACAATCGAAAGGGGCGCGTGACTCCCAGATACGGACGGAGCGGTCGTCGGAGGCCGAGCAGATGTAGTGGGAGTCAGATAACCAGCCAAGGTCCGAAACACCATCCTAGTGGCCAACGAGGCGGTGGAGGAGGAGGAGAGGGTCGATGCTGACTAAATAATTAGGGTTTTGTCAAGGGAGACTAACAGCTTACAACTGTTTAAGGATGGGATCACTCGTCCGAGCTTGAATACCTCTCCAAGTTTTGTAAAGGCTTAAAAAAAATTAAAAGTTTAAATTTTGAGTTTAATTTTAGATAAAAAAATTCAAATTCAAATTTAGTTCAACTTAATTTGAATAAAATGTATAATTAAAATATTATATTTATATAAATATATATATATCAATTTCTATATTTATATTTTATTTTAAAAAAATATTTTTAAAATTTTTTATTATATAAATTATGTTTAATGAATGAATTAGAAATTTTTTTATTTAGATTAAATTTAAAAAATTTTAAATCTCAAAATAATAGATTAAATTAAATTTAAACAAACATATAAATTATTAATATCAAATATAAATCTAACCAAATTTTATGTTTTTACATAACACATGAATACCTCTGTTAAAAACATGAATTATCGGTTTAAATGATTAAATATTAAAGAAGTTTTGAATTTTATCGTATAGATAAATTTTTATAATTTTATTATATTTAAATAAATTTTTTGTTTTTTATTTATATTTAAATATGTTTTTATTTATTTGAATAAAAGATTAACCTATGTTAAAATTTTATTTAAATGTAAAGTAAAAATTAAAAACTTATTTAAATATAATAAAAGTATAAAAATTTATAAAATTCGGGCACCTTTTTATTATTTTAGCCTTTGAAATTTTGATGGCGGGTGTGCAGTTAGCGTTTTCAAGGTGACGGTACGGTTTGTAGGCTGCTGTTGGTTGCTGGTTGGGGACCTTGGGGCCACTGCTTGCCATTGCTTAGAAAGGGCAGAGTGAATGTAGAAGACAAGACATCCCATAATTTCTACGGTCTGAATCCAATCGGGCGGGCCGGTTAGTTTGGTGTGGGCCCAACATTGAGCTGGGCCGGGCAAAAGGGCGCCCAATTGCTGACAGATGTGCCTCTTCATTTTATTCATGAAAAACGTCGGCCCTTTGCGTTTTTAGCATTCCAAAAGTAGATAGATGGACCAAATAACAGGGAATATCTCATTCACGCTAAAATCTCTCTAAAAAATATTTAAAATTATTAACAAATTAAATAATAAATAAATAAGTGATAAATGTAATATTATAGCTTCCCTCGTAAAATCTAAAATTTCACGAGGAAGTATATAAAACAATAATCCTTCATTTAATTCAAATTCTTTTGTTCCTAATTTTTCTCTTGTAATAACCATTTTAATTTAAATGGTTGAAACATAAACTAGCGAGAAGCTCCTACACCATAGGTGTGTAGATAATAGCGAGCAGAAATAATTAGAGCCTGACCAATTGGATAAAATCGTTGCAACAGTGAGAATAGCCAGATTTCTCCAATCAAATTTGCTTGCACATTACATAAGCTACAATTGCGATTGGCGATTGGCAAAACAAAGATTTCAGCAAAGGCCACTCAATACAAATTACAATAGCGAGAGCTTGAAGCATCGGCTGCCACTTGCATGATCTACACATATAGCTGCTAGATAACGGGGATAGGGAAAAAAAAGGTTCCCCACAGGCTTGTCCATTATCAGAACAATTTCAGTGAAGCAGAAGAAAGGCCCCCACATGGTAAACTGACCTCGGATATGACAGCAGCATCAAATTATCATAAATGAGAACCATATAGAAACTACAATGCCGTTGATAATTCAATTCATCCACCTCTCTTCAATTCAAGCTTCCACTCTGAAAAGGCGTCCCTTCTAATATCTGTTGTAAATGCATTACGTGATCAGCAAATACACCTTGTAAAACAAAACATTCAATTTGCAGAGCACAACACTATTTCCTCTTTCAACGTTATTATATTCATTGATACCCAGAAATTCTCCCCCTAGATCAACAGAAGAAAAGCAGAGGCAACATTTCACAGTTACCAGTTTAATAGACACTATGCCAGTATAATCAACATTTGTCAAGCACCACATTTGGAGATAACTGAATAAATACATGTCACGCAGGGTAATTTCAGATTATAATCTTTTCCTTGTTGTATACAAGTGCAGCTATGAATTCTGGCATTCATGAACATAGAAGTATCAAGCATTCTTCTCAATGCCAAGAAAGTACTCATCTTGTGCTAAGAGATAAATAACTACTTAGCTATCATAAACAAACTATAAACTAGCTGGTTCCTTATTTTCAAAATCAGAAGGATAAGATTACTATACCGCTTCATTTAGTGGCTGCAAGTTTCAATACTTGCATAGCCTGGCAGCTCTTCTAGACAACCAGAAAATCCACCTCATCTGAGCTTTCTTCGTAAATTACATAACCTGAATCTTGATACTCCTCATTACCGCTGCCCTGATCACTATTATAGCTGCTCTCTGATGAACTCATAAGCAATGAACCATCAGATGTATGACTACTCAGCTGGGATGGCAGGCTGACCTCACTGTTAATATCACTATCAATCATGTGGTCTATGTCAATGAAGCTGCAAAGCCAAGAAACACAAAGTCAAAATGCAAATTTCATTTCCCAGCACCTTTCAATTTCCTATCTTAAAATATTTATTTGAGATAAAAAAACACTAAGAACAATGACATGACCACTAAATTAGTTTAAGGGTAGACCGTACCATCCTTCTGATGGAAACTCAGCCAGCAAACAAATATTGGGTCTTACTTCCAAAACCTGCTTTAAAGGAATAATGCTGCAGAATACACAAGTTCAGATATTAGTATAACATAAAGCAATATCAGCGGTATATCAGAATCTCACAAAAGATTTATCTACCTGGAGTTGTAAGATCTCTGATACCAGTCACCTTCTGAAGCTAAACCTTCCCTATTAGATATGTCCTATGGGATGGAAGTTGTAAGAGTCAGAGGATTCAGCATAAATGAACTATGAAAATGATATTCACATATCAACTTCACTTACAAGATGTGTAAGGAACTTAAAATCTCCTGCAACAACTGCTGTCAAGAACCGAGCAACTTCTACCTGCACATGAGAAGTCAGATAGGAGAGGGAGAGGGACAGAGAGAGAGAGAGAGAGAGAGCAATTGCTCTAGGAGGAAGAGGTGGGAGGTTGGATTTAGATCTCACCTCTTTGAGATGCATGCAGTCCCTTAAAATTAAAACCTCTAGTAGATTCCCACCACCACCACTTCCCAAATTCCTGATCAAAGGGAAAAAAACAACTTCTGAGAAGTGTACAAAAAGGAGTGTTGGAAAAACAGGACTTCAACAGATTCTAGTAAGTACAGTTGACAAGAGCTGCACAGACCTCAAAAAGGTTCCAGTGATAGAGTACGATGTTGAAAAATCAGCATATTTAAGTTTACGGAATCCCTGCAAGTGATCAGACCACAGCTCAATGCAGCAAAATCAAATAGAATCACCATTCCTCCAGACATACAACAACCAGCACTTGACATATTTACCCACTCTTCCTAATACTTTCAAACCATTGATATTATATGTCAACCACCAAACCTTATCAAGTAGCCAATTTAGTACTTCTGCTTTTACAAGGAAAAGTTGAATTTATCCGTCAAAAGTAGAAAAAAAAAAAGTTCCTACATTAATCAAATTTACATAAAAATTCAAGACATTAGATATTTTCAAGAAAAAAAATCTAAAAGCAGGGACCATGAATAAAGTAATATAAAACCTGGTTCACCCACTATCTTACACATAAAAATTTTAAATGTTTGACAAGATTTCATTCCATTAAGCATGCCCTTGAAGTGCAAACCAAAAGGGCGATTATTTTAAACAACATGAAATAAATGCATACCTTAACAAGTATGCGAACTTTATAATCATGCAGTTTAAAACCTCTCAGCGACAAAGAAGAAAGATTAGGACAATTGTTCACTAAATCAACACAAGTTGGTGATTTCAAGCTGTCATCCCTCCCTGCATTATCATAATACTTTGAGAAGATATTTTGAGTATTTTAAAAAGGCATACTCATGTAGAGACTCTGTACCTGTTTTGGAAGACTCAAAGAATAAACGCTCTATTAAGCGACAATTTGAGCTCACTGACATCAAAGTTTGCCTCAGCTCGACGTGACTGCATCAAAAGGAGGGTGATCAAACAATTTTGAAGGTTACTATCTAAATCAGTATCATCATCAAAATTGCACTAACAAAATTCAAACGACAACAAAGCACCTCTTTAATTAAGGTCATAATGCTACATTTAGTATCCACTCACTCAGCTCTTTATGAATATCTGTTTATTTATTTATGATTGTGCACTTACAAATCGATCTCTCTGTAGCTGTGAGTGTTTATTATTTGATTAATCATTCATATTTAAAAAGAACTTATAAGTTTTAAGATTTTACCACTTGTTAGATCATCCAGCTGCTATTGTTTGCGGCAAGCTCAAGCCAACAGAAAAAAAAAAAAAAAGGAAAAGAGGGTGGGGTTGGCAGGAAGGGTAAATACTGAAAACTAGCTCAAATAAAGAAACTTACAGGCCAACAATTTCCAAATCAAGTAAAGAAGGACAGGCTGTTAATGCCACACAAAGTGACGCATTGTCCATTCTTTCAATATTGTAAAGATGCAACCTCCTCAAAAGAGTCCTTACAATACAAAAAAAAAGCAAATAATAAGAACAAAAAGAAGAACTTATTACACATATTGCATTCTAAACTAGAAGTTAATGCATTCAATCATACCCAGTGGCACCATTGTCCCCACTTAACGGGTATAAGCAGGACCTTGTAAGAATAGATGATTCCTTCCCTTGCCTGGTCCTTTTATCATTCCACGAAAAGCTAGATACATCTACAGAGTTCCTGATAGTATAAACCAATGGTTGACAGGAACCAGGAGACGTGGTTGGGCCAGGCACTATACCGAGCTTAAGAGATCTAAATAACAATTCAATAGATAGTAACTAACAACAAACTATAATAAAAAAAAATCAATATGAAAATATAAATCAACTAGCTAATACTATGTAAGACCAATCTCTCAAACAGATATAGTATAAAGGAGCTGGCGAAAACAACATTTGAGTTACTAATAATGAACTTCAAGATAGCTTGTTATTAATATTTTCATTAGGCAAATGGCAATTCAAGTATTGAACCATAGTTAAGATTAGGCATTTATTAATAAAATTAAATGCTGAACTGTAATAGCGAAAAAATAAAGGAAATCTTACTGGAGTGATTTTCCTGCTCGTTGGATCATGGTGGACACAACGGCATTATTAACCTTCGGCACGACAGTAGTGAGGTCAATATTGGCATAGCACAAAGGATCCATGGCACACTTGTTAAACATCGAACACGTTGCCGCGGCGTAGCAAAGACTCTGCGAATCCAGCATCGAAAACACCTGAAATGAAAAAACAAATCACCACCAAAAAGATTAAAAAAAAAAGAATGAACAAAATAACAACCATCGATCAAAAATGAAGAATTGAAGTTTTACCTTGATGGTGAGATCAGGAGGGAGGGCCCAGGCGATGGAGTTATGAAACGAAGCACGTTTTCGAGCGGAGCGATTGGCAGCACGGAGGAGGAAGGAACCTAGCTTGTGAGCCCGATCGATGAGAAGAGATTGATCAGCGTCTGAAGGAGAGGAGTCGAGGAGGCGGTCGAAGGAAAGGTCGAGGGAAATAGGAGGAGAGGAATCAGCGAGGGAAAGGAAAGAGTGGAGAAGATGGTCCATTTGAGAGAAGTGAGAAGGAAACCTAGGGTTTTGAGACGAAGAAGAGCAAGGGCGTTTGGCCACGGAACTTGAGGAACTTGTTGGTGGAGGGTGGAGGAGGGTATCCATAGCGGGTGGTGGTGAATGAGAGAGAAAAGGGGAAGGAGGAGTAGTGTTGGTGAATTTTTTTATTTTTTTGTGGATGGTTAAGTTAATGATTGTACGGATTGTAGGATTGATGACACGTGGCGGTTAACGTGGAAGGGTTTGTGGGTTTTAAAGATTTTGGGAGGTCGATGTACCACTTATGTGAGTTTTTATCACGGCCTCTCATCTCATGCTCCTTTTCTTATTATTTTAAAAATAAAAGAGAGAAATTATATTTACCAGGGTGTTGGTGTCTTCAGTCCTGTGTCCTGGATTAAAATTAATAGATAAAAAAAATAAATGAGAATTAATTTTAGTTATGCTTAGTAAAACTGATGAAAATAAATAAAGATGAAAATCTTATTAATTTAATAATTAAATTTTATAACTATTTTTTTATTTTATGGCTTAATAATTAAATTAATAAAATTTTCATCATCACTTCTTTTCATCATTCTTTTCAAGTAAAGCCTTAAATACCTTAATCGACCTATTTTTTCTTAAAATTTATTTAATAATAAATAAATATAAAAAAGATTGAAAAATAAAAAAAGGAAAATTTTTTAAATTAAAAAAATGAATATTTTAAAAGCTTATAAAAAAATGCAACAATGACATCTCATATTGAATTTAAAATATAAATTTCTTAAATTAAGATAAAAATAATTTTTTAAAATAATAAAATATTTATTTTTACATATACCTTTAAATGGATAAAATAAAATATCTTAAATACACTTTCCATTCAAACTTATTTTTCTTTAAAAAATTATCAATATCAAGTCAATTCTAATTTTAAAAACGTCTTTTTCATATCAAGATAAATCAAAATTTGTCAAATGCAAATTATTTTTTGTATTTCTGTCAATTTGGCATCTTTCCTTAAAATTTTATCTAATTAAAAAATATAAAAAAAATCAAACAAATGAGACACCTCAACACCTCAATTAGTTCTTTCACAAAACTACTTTAATAAAAAAAGATAAAATAACAAAAAAAAAGGGAAAAAAAAACATAAGAACAAAGAAAAATAAATAAAAAATAGAAAAAAATTAATTGTGGTACTATAAGATATCTCAATTGAGTGATAACCCATTGAATATAAATTATTTTATCATTTTTATCCATAGCTCATTTATTACAAAATTTATCTAATAAAAAAATTAAAATGTCATGTGGACACTTTTTTTTTTCACAAAATTTTATCTAAATTAAAAAATAACAAACAAGAAAAAGGAACAGGGTCAACACAATGAATGAAGGTCAAACAAAAATTAATAAGTCAAATTTATATAATGAGTGGATTATATCTTAATTATAAATAGATATAGTATTTTATTAAATTAAGTTATTAAATAATATATTTATTAATATAATACATGTATATACTTATAAAATTAAATAAATAAAATTTAATATATAAATTCAATAAAATATGTAACACCATAAACATGTGTTCGACTTGATATTGATTATCAGGAAAAATATCTCAATTTGATCTCAAATAAAAAAATACATGTATTAGATTCGGACAATTTGAAACCTACCAAATGTAGATTGTTTTGTTCCCTACTAACATTAAAATTTTTCTTAAAAGATGTATTTATGGATTTTTTTTGTTATAAATTATTTGATTAAAATCATTAAAAAATGGGTATAAAAGTAAAATTGGGTATCACATATATACATTTGTTTTATTTTTTTGGCAAAAAAATATAATTAAAAATAAAAAAATAAAGAAAAAAACAAAAAACCAAAAAACATAAAAATATAAAAATATAAAAATATAAAAAAGTAAAAAACAAATCAAGTTAACATGTGACATTAGCAATGATGAGTTAACCTAATATCATTTTCTTATAAAATATTATCAAATTAAAAAAAATAAAATTTTTAATCAATGATATCCAATGGGCCTCAAATAAAAAAAATTAAAATACTATAAATATTTAAAAAGTAAAAGTAAATAAAAATTGATAAAAAATAGAAATAAAAAACTTAACATGTGATATACCTCGTGTTTTAAGTTGAAAAAATAAATGTGTAATTGATCAAGTTTGAGCAAATACAATATTAAATTCGAATTCAAGCTCGATTCAAAATTTAAGACTCGAAACTCGACTCAAATACAATCGAATTTTATTTTTTTAGCTTGAGCACAACTCAAGATAAAAATTGAGCTACTCAAACTCGCTCGATTATATTCAATTAATATGTAAAAATAAGCTTAATTCTTATATTCGACAAAAACTCAATTATTTGTGTTCGAACTTGAACTTAAGTTTAAGATATTTTATTAATTAAAATAATTAAAATATAAAAGCTTGATTAAGCTTGTAAGCTACTAAAGTCGAGTATAAAAATACTCGAACTCGACACAATTAATAAATCGAGTTATTTAAGTTTGACTCGATAATAATTAAGTCAATTTTGAATTTTATTTAAGTCAAACTCGAATAGCTTATGAATATTAATATATCATTTATAACATTAAAAAATACAATAAATTTAAAATATAATATATTTTTATTAAATACAAATGAGAAATAATAGAAAATTAAATAAAAAAACATGCGGCATACATTTAGTATCAAATGGATTCTATTAAAAAATAAATTTAAAATCTATATAAATAAATAACAAAAAAAATGCTTCACATAAAGTGGGGCTCACCTTTAAAAAATATATTTCAAAAAAATATTTATTAAATATAAAATAAATTTTAGCAAAAATAGAAAAAAAAAAGTAAAAAAAAAAAACAAAACGAAAATGACACGTGAATACCTTAATTACCTTTTTTTTTCATAAATTTATCAAATAAAAAATAAGTTCCTAAAACAAATTTAAAAAAATAAAAATTTTTAAAAAGGAAAAATGAAAAAAAATAAAAAATAAAAAAATATATCATAGAGATTGCCACATTAACACCCTATATTTAGTTTTAAATATTAACTAATGAAATTAAGACAACAAATTATTAATATAATACATATATGTATAAAATTAAATAAATAATAAAATACATACATTTATATATACTTATAAATTAGTCAAGATAAAGTAGCTTATATACACTTTCGACCCAAGCTTATTTCTTTTTAATTTAATCCATCTTAAGTTAATCTTGATTTTAAAAAATCGTTCATTATCATATCAAGATAGATTGAAAACTTATAGAATATAAATTATTTTTGCATCTCTATCAATTAATATTTTTCATTGTAAAATTTATCTAATTAAAAAATATAAAAAAAACTATGAGGAAAAAAGCAAAATTAGGTGCCACATTAATACCTTTCTTTTTTTTGACAAATTTACTTTAATAAAAATGACATAAAACAAAAAAGGAAAAAAAAAAAAAAAAAGCTTATTAGTATACTACATGAATACTTCAATTGAATAAGGATCCATTGGATATGAATTATATTATCAATCCAATCCATCAACTCATTTCATTGTAAAATTTCTTTAATTAAAAAATAAAATAATAAAAAAGCAAATTGGTGTGTTGATACACACTAGCATAATTTTTTTTCACAAATTTTATTTATATTTGAAAAAAAAAAAAAAAGAGAATAGTATGTTACCTTGCATAAAGATCAAATAAAGTAAAAATAAATTAAATTTATATAATGATACGAGGTTATGTTTAGTGAATAAGATTATGATTAATTATGATAATATAATATTATGAGTGTTATTAAATTAAATAATACCATCATATTTTATATTTGATATATGCAATGATTAAGCTAAGATAATATATTTATTAGTCAAAATTATCTTTCTACAAAGTTTATACAATTTAAATTATTGGTATAATTTTTAAGTGTATAATATGATATATAAGTTTAATCCTATAAATTAAAAATAATCCTCTACTTTTTCAAATGATAGAATTATTCTATTGGCATAAGATATCTAATAATTGCAATAATCAAATCATTTTGTTTAAGTACATAACAAACATATGATAGGATGATCAATATATATCATTCAACTAATCCTATATGTGAAAAGTAGCCTGAATGAGTTAATTACATCTTAATTATTGATAAATATAATATTTTTATTAAATTAAAAAATTAAATAATATCATTGTTAAATAATATATAAAAATATGAAAATAAATAAAGAATTCAAAATATAATTTAATATATAATCAAAGTAAGAAGAACATCGTAAACTTATTTTCGGCTCAACCTTAATTTTCAAAAAAATATCAATTTGATCTTAAATAAAAAATGTACCTATCAACTTCAGAATAATTAAAAACCCATCAAATATAGATTGTTTGTTATTTATATTTTTATTGACATTTTTTGAAAAAAATTTATTTACTAACTTAATTTGTTGTAAATTATCCAATTAAAAAATAAAAAACAAAAAAAAAATCAAAATGGCAAACAAACGAAACAGATTGCCACGTGTAAACATTTGTTGTTGTTTTTTTTAAAACAAAATTATCTAATCAAAAAATAATAAAAAAAAAGAAATAACACATCAAGTGAATCCTATAAGAAAATATTTATTAAATTATATAAAATAAAAAATAATAAAAAAAACACATCAAGTGAATCCCATAAGAAAATTCTAAAATTATGAAAAAAATAAAAAAAAAATTAATAAAAGAAAAAAGCTTGGTATAAAGCGGGCTCATGTCTAAAACTAAAATCTTTTAAAATATTTATTAAATATAAAAATTTTGGTAAAAAATTGAAAAAATAAAGAACTAAAAGCTACAAAGCTAAAAATGTAAAAAAAAAAAAAGGAAATAAACCAAAATTAGCCGCGTGCCCAAATTGAGGTCTTATAACTGTATGTTATCGTTGAGAAGCGATGGTGACATCCGAAAATACTGCCATTTAACCGTATGTTACCGTTGGGAAGTGATGGCGACATCCCAAAATACCGCTATAGACTATCAAATGTGCATAAAAGAGGAGAAATTGGAAGGTCGAGGTTGTCGATACTTTGTTCATCGGTGAGGGATTTGGAGGAACCGACGGTGGAAGTTGCCGTTGTGGATGCGGTGCTGGAAGCGGAGGGGTTAGATTTGGTGGAAGTGGCGCTGGCGGTGGAGGAGGATGTGTTGGATTGTCGCGAGATTTAGGTTCGAGTTCTCGTTTTCTTGTTCGCGAAACTTTTGTTCAATATCGGAGCTTTTCAACACTCGCTTGCAGCCGGTTTTTTTGATAAGTTATTCTTTGACAAGATCTATCTAGGGTTTGGTTATGGTTATCTTCGAGGCTTGATCTGAGATCCATTAAGTCCAAACCAAAAGCGAGACCTAAATGGCTCAATCTTGTCCACGTGGGTCCACAGTTCGAATCCAAAGAACCTAATATACTTGCAGCCTAATGCGACCTTTCAAGTTTGAAGTTTGGACCACCGTTCCTGCGGTCCGAGACAGATAGATGACGACGATACCCCGATTTTGCTGCAACGATCTTCTTCGTTTCGCTCCCGTCAATCTCGACCACTTAACAGAACCGTGAGCTCTTCAAATCTTTGGCCCTTTTTTTTTTAAACTTAAAGCAAATTATCGGTCGAGTTGTAAATTTGTTCCGTTAATGGTAATTCTGTGATTATTACAGTTTAATATGTTATTCTACATGACGTATTTAGCTCGATCGCTGGATTATTTTCATATAGCTGAAAGCCCCGGCAAACAAATTATGGGTTACAGTAAGCTCTCCGTCCCCCTCTTTCCTATTTATATTTTCTATTTTCTTGTGTGAATTAGATTATTAATCATGAATTGAACTCTCATAATTAGAAAACAGGAAGCGGGTTCTAATTTTGATGCTCATTGCCTTCTGTATTTGATTTATTACTATTGGCAATTGGAATTTCAGTTTTCAGAGTCATGTTCAAGATTTTATTTGAACAGGGATATGCTTCTTATTGGCTATGCTGTTTTGACATTGTATATCTATATTTAATACCTATGAAATTCTTGCTGTTATGGGGAAAACTGAGGGGCAAGGTGAGTCTTGGTATGGCCATGTAACAGCAGCCACCGAAGCTCCAGAATATTGCATGCAGCAGCTTTTGTCTGCAGTTAGCAGACAAGATGTAATATTGGTGTACATTTATTGTTCACTTGAGTATGGATATTTTTCTCTTATGGATTTTCTCACAATCGATTTGGGTCACTTTTGTTTACAATAAGCAGGCATCATGCATTTTAAGGGCATTAGAAGATTTGAAATTACCAAAGTATCAAGTTTTCTAATATCATATTAAGGGCTGATTACAAGATTAGAAATTATCAAGTATTAAATTTTTTTAATATATGTTTATTAATCCTTTTATATATAAATTTGTGGCGTGCTTTACTCGTTTTCTGCGAAGTGCTATAATAATTGTAGTAGATGTTTTTGATGTAAATAATACAAGTTTCTGAACACAAGGTAAATTTTTTGGTTGAAATGGTGAGGATTAAGTACTGGCACAAGCACAGTCATAAGCTTCATCTGGTACTTTTGTGTAGAAAACCTTCCTTTGAAACTAACATGTATTTCATGTATCAAAAAGGATTTTTGTTTTGTTTTGGGCATTTTTTAAAAAAATTATACCCTGTGCATTTCTAGCTTTAAGCTGACATTGATTAGGTTATGCTTGATAATTTTATCTTGCTAAGTACCTTCCTTTCAGTCAAACTTTGATGACATCCTGGCATGAGCCAGACTTGTATATTATGCATGATAATTTGTTTGTTTAGTACATGCTAGTGCTTTTGAATTGAATAATTTCTTTCTTTCCTGGAATGAAAGTGTCCATCATTGTAATTAAGTAGTGTGCCAACTGCCAAGTAATAATGTTTCCCTGTTGCATTCTCTAGATTTGTTTTGGTGTCTTCATTCTTGTTATCTCCTCTTTCATTAATAAAAAGTCTTTTGGCAGTGACAAAACATATTTTGTGGATTTTTTTGTGTGGGCTTCTAAAACACCTGTCATAAAGATGTATGAAAAGGTAATAGTTCTATAACTTTCCCTTTTGGAAAATATTATATGATTCTTGCTTTCCCTTCAGATTGTACCACATGAATGCAATTTAGATGCATGTTGTTGCTGTTATTCAGATTCTTTTTCTTCTGTTTTAGATCATGGTTTTCCATTGTCATTGAGTCTATCAAATTTTGATGTGTAAACATTCTCATTCTGAAATTCAAGGCTTTCTGAAAAGATTTTTTTCGGTGAAGTTTGCAATTTAGATGTATATACCTAAAATCATTCCTTGTGTTTTATGTTTGTATAAAAATTAAGAATTCCTTTTAGAATCCTAAAAAAAAAATGGCAGATGATTCAGTGAAGTTTGTAAAACATGGCTAGCATGTGCATTGTTCATTAACATCAACTGGGTGGGTGACAGTAAGTTGGATCCAGGATCTTGTTTTCTAGTATTTGGTCTTTGTATGCATATTTGTTTCTGTTCCATGTTCCATAGGTATGAGTTTGGTTTTTGATGTTGTAGAGAGAATGAATTGATGAGGTTGACAACAATGGGTTTCAGAAAGTTTTGACATTTGGTTTAGTGTAAAAGAGATGCTAGTAAGTAATAGGATCCAAAAATTATTTCTACTACTTAGATTAAAAAAAAACTCAACTAGGGGCGAATTCACAGTTAGAACTTAGAACTATAGATGCTTGTAGCAGTATTAATGATTTCTTCATCATGGTATGAGAGAATTGGAGAATTGGAAAAGAAAGATAGAAATAAGGGAAAAAAAAAAAAAAAAAAACTAAGAACTTACACTTAGGTTATATATGTGTTTAAAACATCCTTCATTTAAATTCCCTATAAAACCTTATATAATCAGGATGGGTTTTCATGGTCTTTTATCTCACCAGATTGATGTTAGACCTCGTTATCTGGTTTGGAGAATAGCACGAATATTGTAATTCAATTAAGTTCAATCCTTCTTGTTTTGCTTTTTGTCATTTTGATTAATTAAATGAATATTTAATTCAAATTTATCTTGTCAGAAATGATCAAATTAATGACTGTATGCAGTTAAATTCAAATTTAATACTGTTAGAAGACCTTGTCCCTAGAGGCGGATCCAGGATTTTTATTTGAGGATGTCCACTTATAAAATATATATAAAAAACTGTTGATGGATTTACCAATTTTATGGTGTCCAAGGAAAATATTTCTTCAGATTTTCTTTTTCCCCATCTTTGGGGGTGTTCATAGGAAAATTTTGAGAATGTCCACTAAAATATTTACCTTTAAATTTTGTTATTTTTCAATTTTGGTCCCACTAAAAGTGGCTCCGCCACAGCTTGTCCCCTTTTAATTCTTGAGTAAGCTGGTCTTAGTTTCCAGCTTATCTTGTGACTTTTTGTTCCGTTATTTTGAAATTAAGTTTGGTTTATCTCCTCTATCAGACAGGAGAAAAAAAATTGGTTTATCTCCTAAACTATTTCTAGTTTTGGAAAAGGCTTTTAAAGGCCATATCAGTAGTTTTTGCTTCTTGATAACCGCAACCTCCTCAATGAACGCCATCCTAGTGCACGCAATCTGTTCATTCCATTGTATTAATTTCTTGCTAGCAAGGAGCTGCATCTGATATTGTAGAGGTTGAATTCTGGATCTTATTGCTCTTGATTTGGAATGGTTATACAATTTCAATAATTGGTAGGGAGCCCATAGTTGTTGAAATTATTCTTTCTTTATATTGACTAATAAAATTGCTAGTAGATTATTGCTGGTTCTGAGCGATGGCCTGCATTTTTGAGATTCTTTTAACATTAAATGCATAAAAAAAAGCCTTCACTATTTAGCTGAATAGACTTGTTATTAAAGCGCATCTTTGTTTACTAGCCGAATAGACGTGTTATTAAAGGGCATCTTTGTTCATTTCAGCCCCGAGATTTAACTTTATAATTAAATTGATCCCCCTTACAAATTGATATCATTAATTATAAATATTTTGTATATGCGTACACATATAGTCTGTTTATATATATATATATATATATATATATATATATATATATATATATGCACACACATGCATACATGCTGTGAGGAGTATCTGTACTGTATAGAAAACAAATGTTTGGCTTTGTATTACTATCAGGAATCTGACATCTGAGAAGCAAAATTCTTAGACCACAATGAAATGTTTATGTCACAGATTAGCTGTTACTGATGGAACTGAATTAATGAGAAGAAGATAGAAGAAGCTAGAAGAAATAGACCAGAGAATTAGAGAGAATCAGAGATAGTGGAAGCAGAATTTTGTGATATTTTCATTATAATTGTGACTGTTACATAGCATTTCCTATATATAGCACAACACGCGCTTCAATTTAGTGTAACAGAATTATAATTGCTAATAAAGTAATTTGATACCTGCTATAACAGGATGCTTTACAGCAAACACTTCTGCTCCTTTGTCTTTATCATCCTGATCAGCTTCATTTCCAGCTGTCAGCTTCCTCTCCAGCTTAGTTCTTTCTTCCATCAGCTTGGCTTTTTCCTTTACCAGCTAGGCTTCTCTTCCTTTCAGCTTCTTTGCACCATTTTTCAGCACTAATTCCCACCTCCCTGCTAAAGCCTTCCTTCATTACTGTTCTAATGTTTCTGCCAATCAAGTTCATCACAGTATATTGATGCAAGGTTTCGTGTATTGTGATCTTAAATAAAGATTGCATGATGAACTTTATTTATATTTTCTGACATCTTCAATTTCTTTTTCATTCTGATACTTTTTTATTTTTCTTTCTTTTTTCTTTTTGAAACTTTCAAACATGTACAAACAATCATATCTCCTCTTCTCTCTTGCATTAATTTTATTTGGAATCCCCAAATATGTAATTGATGACACCTTTTGATAAATAATATTAGGAGGAATGAGAAGTATCATCTTTAAGGTGTGAATAAAATTAACTTAGACTACTACTCTAATGATTAGAACTTTTATATTTCACATCGTAAAGGATGCAGCTGTATATGCATTGCTTGAATATGTTCTCGAGTGAACCCTCCACTCTGTTTCCATGTCTTTGATGTAATTTGTATTTTATTTTAAAAAAGGTCTGTCCAATGTCTTAGATGTGGTGGGAGGAGATATGTTTTTTCAAGTTAACCTTTCTGCTTGGTATATGGTATTAGTTGTTCTTTTCATTTTCTAAATTAAGTTTGGCCTCATTATTTAGGATGCCGCTTTTCAGTCTTCTCAGTAAGTCTATCTCATCATACTGTGTCTTTTTGTTGCAACCGCCAAATGCTGGACGGTTTGTATGCTGCTTATTAATTTATTGTAAAGCAAGGGAACTGCTTTTGCTGGTAAGGGTTGAATTTCTAAAACTCCTTTTTTCTTTAATTCAAAACTCTGTCCCTTTTTGTTAGATTTTGATTAAAATGTTGGCCGTACTTTATCCATTTTTTCCCTTTCATGTTAGCAGAAATGAAGTGTTGGGTTGTTAAGTTTGGAAGGGAACTCCTTATATAAAAAAAGTCTGCTGATGCTGGGAAATTTAAATTGAAAAACTCATTCTATTGTCAACAAGTTATCCAAACTATATTCATTTGGTCAAAAGGGCATTTGAATAGATTATTTTTCATCACTCTTAGTTACTTTCAGACCGGTAAGGGGAACGAATTTTCTGCCTACGGCATAAAATTTGCGTTTGCCGAATGGGGGGCACTTTCTCCCAAAAATGTTTCATACCTTCACCCTATTTCTCCTTTTCATTTCATCTTTTTGAGTTGCTCTGACAATATTGTGTCATAACATTGTTGATCGGCTTGGCTGCCATGTTCGTCAATCGCCTCAAGTTATATTCCTGGAATAAATCCGTGCATCCTCATCAAAGGAGGAACTAGGGTATCCAGATTTTTTATTTTTTATGGGGATTGCTCACTTATAATATAATATATATATATATATATATATATATATATACAAGACTGTTGGTAGATTTACCACTTTTATGGTCTTTAGAGAAAATTTTCCTTCAAATTTTGTTTTTTCATAATCTTTGAAGTGTCCAGAGAAAATTTAGGTGTTCAGTGAAAATTTTTTATTTAAATTTTATTATTTTTTAATTTTGGGATGTCCATGAACACCGTCCCATTAAAGGTGAATTCCCCACTGAGGGTACCACGTCCAAAATTTTGAACTTGCCAGGATGCTTCTGTTGTTCCATAGGATGACGGGGGCAGAGGAGGAGAGGGTTATTGGAATTGTGTATGTGAAATATTAATTACCAGAGCATGTCCATTAAACTAGTTTGTTCCAACTGAAGCAATGCTTCAGAAAGTGCCAGTTTTCATGATGATGCTTTCTCATGTATGCATGTTTTTCTTGTAATGCACAGGTGGGGACTTCATAGAGCTTTAGGTATGTTGAACATGGGATCCAAGGACATATAAGTAGCGAACTCATTCAGTGTTCGAAATGTGGTCGTGAGCGTTATCTTTCTTTGTACCTTGTTTTTTTGTAACTCTTTAAATATGCTTTTATATAATGTTATCCATCTTTACAAATTAGAATACTCTGAATATTGAATCAAAAATTTAATTTGATTGATTTATGTAATTAATTTTATAAGATGACAATTAATAAGTTTAAGGTTTAAATTTCAATACTTATAATTTTTTTTTATTATCAAATTACGGTTTCATTTATAAAAAAAAAAAAAACTTCGAAATTTTATTTTACAAATATCTATAGCTTCGCAGTTTTCACGATTAAAAGCGTCTGCTGACATATTATTTATTCGGCTTTCTGTCCAATGCTTGATTTTGTAAAGTTTCGAGCATGTGGTACGGTATTCATGTGGTACTTTTTTTTAATTAGGTTTTTGTTTTTATTTTTAATTAGTTTTTAATTTCTTTTTTTTTACTTTATTTTTTATACTTACCCTTCTTTTTTTATTTTAGGTTTTTAATTTTAATTTTTTAATTAAATATATTTTTAATTAATTTAATTTTAATTAAATATATAGATATATATTTTATATTTCATCTATCCATCTATTATATTGAAGTTGTAGATTTTGCAGGAATGAGAGGTTCACGCCATTTTCTTCCAAAAATTTACTTTTTTAATTTTATTTTTAATTAAATTTATTTTTTTACTTTTTTATTTGGTTTTTTAATTTTATTTTGTTTGATAGATAAATTTTATAAAAAAAAAAGTTCCTGATAGGAATCATAAAATTATTTATATCTAATTGATTCTAATTCACATCGATCCAACATGTGTTTTTTTTTTTAATCGAGATCTGATCATTTTTTTTTTTGAAACTGAAGTTGAGTTTGAGTTAAATTTAAGGTGTTCTGCTTTGATTTGAGTGTTTACGGCACATTTTTTTTTATTATTATTTTTTAAAGCTTTTGATTTTTTGTTTCTCTTTTTTTTTTTTTTTTTTTTTATTAGATAAAATTTATAATAAAAAAGTGAATTGAGATACAGATTATAAAACAACTCATTTTTTATGGGTTTTGATTCACCCTTATTTAATTAGTGTATTTTCTTTTAATTTAGGATAATTTATTCAGTTTTTTTTTTATATCGAACTTTAACAAAAGTAAGATTTTAAATGTTAGAGCAAGTTTTTCATATATATAAAAATATTTTATTATTTATTTAATTTTATATTTATATATGTATTTTATTAAAAAATATTATTTAATATATTAATTTAATAAATTTATGTGCCACCAATTTGGCCTCTTTATTTTTATCATTTTTTTTAGTTTTTAAATTTTTAATTAGATGAATTTTTTAAAGAAAAAATCAATAAATGTAGGAATAATAAATCAATTTAAATCAAATGGGTTTCATTTCTTCACGATCCAATCATTTCTTTTTTTAAAGAATTGGTTTAAGTTTTGCATTTTCGAATAATTGGAGTCAAGTTGAAATCGGATTTAGGGTACTCTACCCAACCTTCATCGAGATATATAAAAAAATATAATTTATTATTTGTTTAATTTATATATGTATTATATTAATAAAAATATTATTTAATATCTCAATTTAATAAAAAATTATATTTATATATAATTAAGTTATAATTTATATATAAAAAATAAATACATTTATATTTATTTATATATTTCATCCATTAAATTTTGACATAACAATTTTACTTTTCTCATATTTAAAATATAATTTTAAAATATTTAAAGAATTCGCAACGAAATTTGGGTCTACTTCTAATATTTATAAAGTTAAGATTAGAATCTTAGGACTCCTCGTTGAGCGAGCATATCAACCGAACTTTGTGGAGGTTCAAGTGTGTTTATAACATTTTTTTTTCCTGTAGTTCCCTAGCTTTCAATGACTATACTAATTTCTATGCAAATTAGGGAAGGTTTGATTGGATAGAGGTTTAAGAGTGTCATAACATATAAATTCGTAAATATATAGCTAGACTTAATATAAAGAGTCGCAACGAATTTTTTATCTAGGTGTGATTGATCATCGGATGAATTTATTCTTTTAAAGAGCTCTTAAGCTTGACAAAGGTCCTTAAAAAATATGTTCGATCTATTCATCAAAACAGAGTTTAAAAATTCGATTATATATGAAAAATGTTGTAGCAACTTTACATGCTTATTCAAATAACGATACTATTTTGTTTTAAATTATTTTAAGGTTTATAGTTCTAATAGTCTTAATTTTAATATTTAAATATTGGAGATAGTCTTTAAGATTTGTCTATCAATATGGTAGAATTCTTAAAAATACTTCATCACTTCAAGAGTATTCAAGAATCTCATTTATTTTCTTGAAGAGGTTCCATCATCGAAAAGCTTAATCAATTTTATTTTATCGAAAATGTATTTAATTCTTCCATTATTTGAGCCTAAATTAGAAATATTTTTTACTTAAAAATATTTTAGATAATCATCTATTTGTGATTATTAAGAATTTCATCATCAAAATTTTATTTTTACAATTTTTATTTCTATTTCTAAATTTTCACCATTTGTGTTTATTTAGAAAATTTTCTTATAAGTTTCATTTTAAAAATTTTCACAATTTGAGTTTATTTAGAATCTAAAGTGTCGTAACGGTTTTGGGACCGTCAGACGAAAAGTGTTTTATAATTGAGAAAAATAAAAGGGAGTCTCTACCAATCTTTGTTAGAGTGTGATTGATCATCCCAAAGTTTATCTTTTTAATAAAACTATAAAATCAGGTTTAAAGTTTATTAAAAAGATAAATTTTGATCTACGAAAAATCAGGTTAAGCTCGGGAGTCAGTTACGTGTGGGGCAGAATTAACACCCCTACAATGCCCATAAATTGGTACCATTTAATTATGCGTTATTTTTAGTGTTAGATGAAATGGTTTCGATTTGATATTTAATAATATAAATTCTCTTTTATTTTTTTAAAATTAATTTTATCAAAATTCTTTATTTAGAAGTATCGAGGGAATCTCTAAGTTAAAGAATTATTTTAAAATTTTTCAACATCTAGGCAGAATTTTAAAGATAATATTTTTGATTGATATTTACCATGACATCTTTTGAAAATGAAAATAACATCCTTTGCAGAAGATAGTTGTTGGTGACTCTCCAACATTTAGGCAAAGTACTAAAAATTATTTCTTTTGGAATGTTATTTTTGTTTTATTTTAAAATTACACATTTTTAAAAGTAAGTAAACAAAAAAAACATTTTGTATGAAAAAGTAAATGATGATACTATCAGGTAGCAAACAAATATGCAAAATGAGTGCAAACAATAACAAATAAATGCAATTAAGCTAATAGGTGCTATGTATAATGATGAAATGCAAACTTGAAATTGGATTCTTAGATATAATGAGACCACCTTGACTCTCCAACATTTAGGCAGAGCTTAGGTGCGATTATTTATATTTAAGATCCCATTTTATTAGCATATTTTTTTTTATCTATTGATTTTAATCCCATGATTAAAGCAAATTAATGACTAGCATGAAAACTTAATGAAATAAAGTTTCTTAAATATCCTATCATCTAGGCAACATTCAAGAATAAATTATTTCGAGATTTTTATACATGTGTCCTTAAGATTTTAAGATGGTTTTGGTTAGAGCTTAAGTCGAGGTTTTAAAGGTTAGGGTTTTAAGATTTTGAAGATTTGAAAATGTGTATCAAATTTTGGTCTTTAGACTTTTGGAATTTTAGGTTTTAGATTTTAGGGTTTGAGATTTTGGATTTTAGGGTTAGGTTTTCAAGTTTCAAATTTTGGGATTTAGGTTTTCGATTTTAGGGTTTGGAGGTTTGAGGTTTGGATTTTAGGGGTTTTTTTATGTTTTAGGGATTTGAGAATTGGGGTTTAACGAAAATACGAACATCTCTAAAAATTTTTAACATCTAGGCAGATTCTTGAAGCAAGTTCAATTTTTATAATTTTTGAAAATTAATTAAAATTTTCATATATTATTATTATTATTTATATTATTACTATTATTATTATTATATTATTATTTTATTAATTAATCTTTATATAATAATTCTCCAATATCTAGGTGAAATTATTTTTAAAAGTATAATTTTATTCCTTCTAACATCTAGATAGGGAAAATGAAATAAAAAATATATATTATTTAATTTTTATTATTTTTGTAGATTATTATTATTAATATTATTTTTAGCACTTTTAGAATTTTTTTTAATTATTATCCTATTTTATTTCATTTTTTTATTATTAAAAATAATCAAATATTTATTCTAACAAATTTAAAAATTTATCATGCATAAATATAAAAAAAGTACTTAAAATGACAAAAATGATAATATATAAAAAAAATTCAAAAATTAAAATTTTTTTTTTAA